AAAACGGAAACGGCCGTTTTTTAAAAATGCCGTTTTTCAGAAACCCTAGTATACTCCTCAATTGACAACCGTAAATCGACAGCTTTAACTTGTCTGGACTTAAGTAAGGCGTTTGATTGTGTTCAACATGACATTATTCTTAACAAACTAAGAAAAACTCAATTATCGCAGTCTTTCATGGATCTGCTTAAATCATATTTCAATGAAAGAAGCCAAACTGTAAGACTAAACAACATCTTAAGTGACATTCTGGTGTTGAACAATGGAACTGCGCAAGGAGGTGTACTTTCTGGTCCCTTATTTGATCTTTATGTCAATAGTTTGAATTTTCTTGATCTCCATTCTTCTATGTTTCTTTATTGTGACGATATTTCAATAGTCTCAAGTGCCGATGACCCTTCGCTCCTGAAATCCAGCATTAAACATGATCTTGCATTGATCTCAGAGTGGTTCAAATTTCATTTTCTGTTCCCAAATATAGAAAAATCAAAATACCTCCTATTTCATAACAGAAGAAGAAATGAGTTCTTCACTGAACAATCACTGGACTTGACTCTCAATGACATCATAATCGAAAGAGTAGAACACATAAGACTTCTTGGTCTTGAAATTGATGAAAATTTAAATTTTTTTCACCACATTAAAGACATAAAATCTAAAATCGTTCCTTTCACTTTTGCTCTTCGAAGGATGCGCCATCTAATCACAGAAAAGACTGCTCTTCTTATGTATTATGGATATATCCAATCACGTATTATGTATATGAGTCCGGTATGGTCTGCAGCTCCGAAATATTTAATAGAATCGGTTGAAATTGCACAGAGAAAAGCACTTCGAGTTGTATTTAAAAAAAATTGGGATTGTAGCCGAACGGAACTGTACTCTCGACAGATTCTCCCAGTTTCATCCCTATGCAATCTATCCTCAAATCTCCTCATGTTTAAAATTATCAACCACACTGCAAAAATTAATATTGAGCTTCAATATGTTCATGAAATTCACAATTATCCTACACGAACAAGAGATTTACTGGTATTGCCTAGTTACAATACGATATTCTGTTATTCAAATTTCTTCATAAGAGGTCTAGATTGTTTTAATCAGCTACCTGCTATTATAAAAAAGCAAGTAGCAATTAGTAGATTTAAAACGAAGCTTAAAGAACATCTTTATGAAGCCATTAAGGGTAGTGACAATCTAACGTAAATACCAAATTATACAAATTTACATGTTAAATATAAATTAGTTTGAAAAAGCTTATATATGAAATAAAGAACCAATTAAAAAAAAAAAAAAAATTTTAGTCCAATTTATCCAAGAAGCTACAAAAATATTCATGAAATTCAATTAAAGGGTGTGGAACTGATGGAATAATCAAAAATGAACAGCTCCTCACACTTGATTCAATTCGAACCAGTTCAAAAAATTTGCCAGCACCACAAAAAATAGCTACTCAACAATAATCAGCAATAAGCACATAATAACCGTTCGGTTAAATAAAAGTGCATAAAAACTGTACGAGAAAAAAATTATACTTTTTTTTTCGACATGACCTACATGAATTTATTTTCATTATGCAGCTCCACTCACAGATTTTTTTAAATAAAAATTTTCCTCATATAAAATCCTATCAAATATTTTCTTGGAATAAAGGTTTGGGTTGCGTTTAAAAATAAGCATGGGAATGAAAAAGTATTTGAAATGTTTTGACCTAAAGTTCCGTTTGTCTGGAGGTCCAAATGTGGCAATATTTATGTCTACATGTGTCTGGGAATGTTTGGAAGAATTTTCATAGTCTGGAACTGTAATGAGCTGTCGTTTTTAAGTGTTGTTACTATTTAAACATTTAAGATGTTTAAGGTAGACCTGAGATTTCTCTAAAGCACGTCAGAGTAACGCAATACACAATGATTTTTGTCCACTAGACTCTTGAGTCCTGGTTTCTTAATAATTATGTTGACTAGTTCGAGATTTATCTTTAGTAACATCAATATGGCAATCAGCTTATCTGAATGGCAACTATATCTGAATTAAAATAGCATTCTAAAAAACTGTGACAACTTTGTCGAGATCCAACCTCTTGATATGACTTTTGGAAGCTTAAAGGTGCCCGGCCAATAAAATATTTGGAAGAATACATAATGAGGAATCTTATGAGCTGGACCAGTGGGCTTATATAGTGAAAGTGTTGTAAATAAATCGATTGAGATGGGCTGGACATGTAAACAGACGCCCAGAAGACTCATCAGTGCTGAAAGTATCAACAGCTGAATTTTTGGATGGATTAGATCTCGAGAAAGGCCAAAGAACTCATGGAATAGCTGTGAAAGTAATGATGCAAATGTGCTAGAAATTAGAAACTGGCAGAAGTTTTCAAAGGATAGAGTCAGTTTTAAACGAACTCAGAATGCGACAATGAGCCCACGTACGCTTAACCAAGGAAGTAAGTAAAAGTGCCAGTGACAATAATCCAAGATGTCACCTAAAACCAACCCAATTAATTGCCAACAAATCCACAATTTGCATTTAATATAGCGCCTTCAAAATTATTCAAATGTTGTGCCAATTTGTAGCCAAATTAGTGAGTCATATCCCACAGAGTTCGTGAAAAATTAGCTTTATTGTAGTTAATTTGGGTATGAATACATTTGAATCAATACTTTCAAGGTGCAAATATATTAAATTTATTGACCAGACTGCTTTTTTTTGCTGGACTTTTGTTGAGAAATTTTAGGTTGGATTTATGAGAAAAAGTGATAGGTTTTTAATAAAGTGAGATGAGAGGAACGGGGACTTCTATGAGTTCATGTAGCTCAGGCGCGTAGCCAAGAGGGTATTGTCCCCCTCTTAAGCGTTTTTGGCCCTTCCCTCGCTGCGGTTCAAAACGTTTAAGGAGGGGGGATGAGGGGGTGCAAGACCCTCCTGGCTACGCGCTTGATGTAGCTATTTAATTCACTTCGGTTTACAATTGTCATTTATATTATGGTAAAAATTTAAATGCATTTGATGAATCATGTCAATTATTACCAAAAGTTTACAGAATGTTAAAAAAATGAATTCAAATCATAATCACAAAAATATGAATACCAGCTCTTAAAGTGTTCAATATTTAACCAAAACATACGGCTTTTAATAGCCAACAAAACATTTCTAAACCCAAAAAAAAAATAGCTCATCAAAAACCTTGATATTTAGTTTTAAACTATGATCAAAGTCCAGCATAACATGAAATTACATGAGTCATTCATTTATAACACTTGAGTCAATATGACAATTTACAATATTTTTCATGAAAACTTTTGTGTAATAATATTAAAATTTGAAGCTTGAATGAGGTTAGACAGTCACCGGTCAATTTGACTCAGTTATTATGATTGTTATCAGTTGTAGATTATGATTTTCTGACAAATTTGTGATTAACCACTTAAAAGGTTTCAAATTTACAGATAAAGTTAAGATTAGATCCAATATTAAGAAATAAATCAAGTATTTGAATTCAGAACCAGTTCTTGGTTTCGGAACATTTATGATAAACTTTACAAGTTCATTTTAAAATGTTAAAAGTTTTAAAAAAATCATCAGAAAATCAACGTTAATGACAGTCAATTTATCGTATTATTTTTGAATTTTTTATAAATTTGTTCATTTTTGAAAACCAAAAACTTAATATTTAACTTTTAAAATTAATTAAAAAATAAATTAATAATATTTTTTAATTATTTATGTAAAAACTTAAGATAAAAATCTTAAATTCAAAAATTAAACTTCAAACCGCCATCAAATCGATTAAAACAAAGCTCAAAAACCCCAAAATATGTTCAATTTTACCACATAAAAAAATCTTCAATAATTCCCTCATTGATTCCACACACAGACTTTAGTCTGGTCTAACCTCAAAAAATTATTTCATTTTTTTTAAAAAAAAGTACCGAAAATCAATGCCTACCTCAAAAGCTAGTCGATGACAAAAATCGATAATTTTTCCTTCCTTTTCACCAAACCAAAAAAAAAACTATGAAAATAAAAATTTTCAGCCTTTTATTTTAATTCAATTTCACTTAAAAAATTATTTTTTTTCCTTCTCGTCGCTCACAAATGCAAGTTTTTTTTTCTATTTTTCTTGCTGACGGCTTCTTTGTGTGTGTAAAATTTACAATAAAAATTTCTTTTTGACACAAACACAAATGAAATATTTTTTTTTTATTTTTTTTTGCTGACAAATTTGAAGTTTTTACTTAAATTTTTGCTGAATCTTTAAAATTCTTTTGTCAATTCTTCCAAATTTTTGTGTCTTGTTAAGTTTTGATAAATTTTTTTGAGTGCCTGTCACGTCTGTTTTTTCCTTCGCGTGCGTGCCACACACAAAAAATTTTTTTACACTTTTTTTTATATAATGAATGCACTTATCACTTAATGATTAAGACTATACAAATGATTTATGCCACCTGTCAACTCCATGTGATTAAAATTCGGGCAATTTTCACTCAGTTTTGAAATCACAAATGACAAAAAATGGCTGAGGGGAAAAAAGTTTCTTTTTTCTTATTTCACTTTTTTTTTGCCTTTTCCTTGTGATAACTTTTTTTTTCTGTCGAATGACGAAAAAAAAATTTTTTTAAATTTTTTTGTAAAATTTTAGCACTTTACGATACGCGAACGTCGCTGTCGATATGCGACACGGATGCTAGTGGAACTAGTGAATGATTATTGATTAAGAACAAGTTACAAGTTCTTAATTAAATCAGTGAATTTCTAGTTTTAGTTAAAACTTTTTCTCTTTTTGCCTTGTGGCTCTATTCTGACGGTTGTCACTGATGCAGAGGACATGTGGACTATTTGTGAGGTTGACTGGCCCGCATTTGTGATTGTCGATTTGGGTTGTTGCTGGTGAGCAGAGAAATGGGTTTGAATTTTTCAAAACCGTTATTTTTTATTGATATTTTAACTTTTTGTTGACGTTTTCCACCTAAAGAGCACCAATAATACTAATTTTATGTTTACTAAGTTTACTCATTTTATTACTTATTTTTTCACAAAAACCCACTGAAAATCCAGTTCCAGGTTCAAAAAAACAAGTTATGCACTCATTAATCCACCTTCAATGGGCAAGCAATGTCCATTAACATAGCTCGACTCATCGCTCAATAACCAAATTACAGGATCAACAACTTCTTTAACTTCACCAAATCTATTTAGTGGAATTCTTGATAGTAGTGGACCAGCTTTTTTAGGATCACTCCAATTTTCTTTTCCCATTCTAGTCAAAATGACAGTTGGATTCACAGAGTTGACTCGAATCTTTCGTGGACCTAGTTCCAGTGCCAAATTTCTTGTAAGTGCATCAAGGCCGGCTTTCGACATGCAATAAGCTGTGTGATCGGTCAATGCTTTAAGGCTGGCAACTGATGACAAATTAACGATGCTTGATCCATTTGTAATTTTTGGCAGCAACGACTGAATGACATTGAAGCAAGCTTTAAGGTTCACATTCATTGTATTGTCATAATCATCCTCAGTAAGCTTGTCAAATGGCTTGATAACAGCCACTCCAGCATTGTTGACAATCCCATCAATCTTAATGTCCAATGCCTGCAATGTCTCTCGAGTATTTGTCCAATCAGAAAGATCCAATTGGATTGCTGTAAAGTATGGTGAATTCAGCTCTGCTTTTAGATCGTTTAACGGAGCTGATGACCTTGAAATTCCAATTACTCTTGCATTAAGGCTGATAAGTGTGGTGGCGATATCTCTGCCAATGCCTAGTGAATTGATAAACAGGAAATATTAAATTAAAATGTAGGATATAAAGTTATGTGAAAGTATTGAAATGATGTGACTAATTTGAAGGTTCAAGGTATATTTTGTAGCTAACACAGTTACTTGTTACTTTTGAGAGTTGTCTGCCCTGAATTTGAAGCTCACCGTGTCGTTTTGTTGGCTTTAGCCAAAGATGCCATTAAAATTGTAGTTCTAGTCTATTTTAAAACTGTTTAAATGCTGTGGTTCAGGAAACCTTCCATCCTTAATGTGCTATTAGTTTTAAAAGGTATCCCGAATAGCACAAGTCGGTTAATCGATCAGAAATACGGCACCATGCTGGTGTGACTCTAGCAAGACACTGCATTTAAATCGAAGTCAGTACCATACCAGAGTCACACTAGCTTTTTGCCAGATTTCTGGTCAATTAACTGACTTGTGCCATTCGGGTTTATAACCGGCTACTAAGGATCTGAGAGAACCACCCTTGATTTTATTCTCATAAAATATACCCACCTTGTCCAACACCTGTAACCACAATCGTCTTTCCACTCAACGAGCTCATTTAATGGTTTAAATTCGATGAAACTTTCTTATAAGAATATTATTGTTCACTTTTGATTATCAAGTAAGATGAGTTTTTTCAGTTTTGATTGTATTTGTGAAAAAATAAGCAATAATAAGGAACAACCTTGATTTACATCGTTAAATGCACTGAATTACCACTACACAATAAAAATAAATTAATCAGAAAACATATAAAATGTTTAAGATTACTATAAATTTGCTCTGGAAATTCAAATGGCAATAACAAAGCAATTCCTACTGAATACAAACTGATAAGATAATTCAAAAAAGTTTGAATAAATTTTGACCGTTAATTTTATTTTCTTTATTTTCTTATTTGATTTATGTTCGCTTATTAAAGTATGATGATTTTTTTCGGCTTAATGCTGCAGCTAATTGCGTTTGATACCATTAAATCTAAAAACTTGTAATTGCCCACTGTAAAAGTCCAGTGATTGCGTTTAATTGTCACAAACAAAATTAAGAAAAAAAGTTGATTAAGTTTTCAATTTTAATAAATTTATTAATTTTTTCAAAATGTTTATAATAAAATTCCATATTCAATTTTAATCTAATGTAATAACATCACAATTATCAGCAACTACTGCTTCTATTTTGTCTTCAACCACTTCATTCCTTGCATTTTGTGCAGCTTCTGCTTCCTTGTCACCAGTTTCTTGATTGTCAGCTTTGTCTCCATCAACTTTTACTTCTTCAACTGATTTATTTTCCTCATTTTCAATTTCTGATGAGATTTCTTGAATTTCAAGAGTTTCTTCAGTTTGGTTCTCAACTTGACTTTCTACTTCCACTTCCAATGCAACAGATTCTTCAACTTTGGATGATTCGGATTTTTCAATTGTTAAACTTTTGACTTCATCAATTTTGATGCGTTTTTCTGTTGCTTCTTTTGGATCCGACTTATCTGTTGCTACTTCCTCAACTTGACCCTCTGCATCGTCTTCTCGTGCTCGCTTTTGAGTCACAGCTTTTGGTGATTTTGTTTCTTCTACTTTAATTGCTTCCATTTGTTGATCCTGAACTAGAGTCTGTTCAACAACAGTAGATTCATCAACCATGCCTTCACTTTGAGCTACTGGAAGTTCAATGGATGTTGTAAATACTTCCAAATCAGCAGATGAGCCAACACATGAGATGAAACATTGTGAATCCTTTTGAATTGAATCGCTGACCTTTTTCTCAACTTCTTCCTTTTGCAGCTTCAGATCTTCATTTTCTTCACTCAATTTCGTGATGATGCTTCGTGCCTTTACAAGTAAAGTTTTTGTTGATGCTTCTTGTTCGATGCTTTCATTAAGTTTTGAGGTTTCATCCCCAATTTGTACTAATAATTTTTCATTTTCAGACTTGAGTGTATCAAATTGTTCCTTTAATGATAAATATTGATCCTTATAGCGCTTACCAATCTTCCTTAATTGTGACATGTTTTCCTTCAATTTCGCAATTTCTGTGTCACTTTCAGGATCTGACTGGCTTTCTTCATCTTTTGTTAAAGCTTTCTTTGAAATTTCCTCAATTTTCTTTGACTTTTTGTCAATTTCTTCATTTGCCATCAAAAGTTCATCATGTACACGCTGGAGCTCACCTTCAAGTTCCTCAATTGTTGCATTTGCTTGCACTTCAAAGTCTTCAAAGTTCTTCTTCTCATTTTTAAGCATTTGTTGGAGCTCCTCACATTTATCGCTCATTTCATCCAATTTTTCAGCCATTTTTGTTGAGCTTTTTTCGTTTTCTTGTCTTTCGAGAGTTGCTTTAATGGACTCGAGGCTGCTCATCATTTGAGTTTGAATTTGTTGCTGCTTCTTGTACATTTCATTTTCAGTTGTTAGTTGAGCTTCTAATTTGATCAAATTCTTGTTCTCCTTTGTTAAATTTACAATTGTAATCTCAGATCTGCTTAATTTTGTTGAGCATGACTGAAGTTCATCACGCAAGTGAGTCAATGAAACTTCAAGTTTAGCCATTGTTGTACCTGAATTCTTAGTCTTGTCTTCCATACTTTGAAGCTTCCTCTTTGTAGATTCGATGTTCTTTTGTTGGATCTTTAGTTGAGCTTCTTTGTGTTCAATTTCTGCACGTAGTTTGTAGTTTGTTCCTGATGTCTCTGACAGTTGTGACTTAACTTGGTCGAGTTGACTATTGAGTTGCTCAATGGCTGCAATCTTCTTGTCTAGAGTTTCTTGGTGCTTTGATTTAAGGCTGTTGAGACTTTCTTCGGATTGGTGCAACTTTTGGGATACTTCAAGATATTCCTTGCTTTCAATTACTGATACTTCCAACTTCTCAACTTGTTCCTGCTTTGACTCAACAGCAGCAATTTTCAAAGTGCTCGAATTAGCATCAACTTCCTGCTTAACAGTCTTTGTATCTTCGATTTGATTAATTGCATCAGACATCTCATGGACCAATGCAACAAGTTTTAAGTTATTAGCTTGAAGTTCCTCAACATTGCTGAATGTCACGTAATTATCACCAACAAAGTTGTTACTAACTCTCCTCATCATTGGTTTACCTTCAATGACATGCAGCAATTGACAAACTTGTGAGCTCAAATCCTTATTTTCCCTTTGCATATCCTTATACTTCTTAGTGACTTTATTGACTTCATCCATTAGCATCTCAACTTTACCTTCTGCAATAATTCTTGCATCTTTTAAGACTCGATAGTCAGCACTGAGTGTCTGATAAGCTTCACGGAGTTTCCTTAATTCAACTTGACATTTCTGAATTTCTGGTGCTTTTTCCTCAATTTCCTGTACAACTGCTGTAAATGTTTCCTTCAACTTTTCATGCTCTAAATTAAGGACATCAAGGTCCTCACTGGCATTGACATACATCGAGTAAACTTGAGTAATTGAATGACCAGACTTTGATAGCTTTTGATTTGGTACTGCCGATGGACACAATTTTTCTACAGCAATTTCCAAATTTTCTCTCTTTGCAGCTTCAAGAAGTTGATTCCCATTTAAAAGTTCATGTTTAAGATCTTCAATGAGTTTTGTCAGCTCCTCGACTTGATTTTGATGCTCCATATCTTTTTGCTTCAACTTTGTTTCCAATAATCCGTACTCATCTGTTGCTTCCTTTAATGATTCCCTCAACTCAGATACAACTGATGTCACTTCCTTTTGGACATTCACAGCATCTTCCGATTTCTCCTTGAATAATTCGACTAGTCTTGTTTTTGAAGATAATTCATGCTGGTACTTTTTCATTGATGCTGAAAATTCTTCATTGAGCTTCAGGATTTCCTTGGACATTTCCTCGACTTTAGCAGTCAACATTTCATTAGATTCTCTCAACTGTGCCTCATTCATTGTTGCCATCTTCAGTTCCGTACTTTTTTCATGCAATTTACTTTCCAACATCATGATCCTCATTGTCGATTCCTTTCGGCTTTGTTGGAGTTCCAAAATGTTTCTTGTCAAGTCATTCGAAATCATTTCAATCTGATTTTGAGTCAAGATTCTTTCTTGGTCGAATCTTTTTTCCTTGAACTCAATTTCAGTCATTTTATGTTGCACTTCTTCATACTTCCTGACTGCCTCACACTTGGCATTAATCGAAGCTTGCAATTGTTGTCTCATTACCTTCGAATCAGCTTCAAGACGCTCGATTTCCATGCTGCGTCGTTCAAGAATTTTAAACAGTCGATCACGATCTTCCATAGCTTCATCTCGTTCCATTCTAGCTTCCTTTAAATGAGCGTCTAAATCGTTAGTGAAGTTTAGTGATTTTTGGATAGATTCACATGATGATTCATCTTGTGAAATAGATGCTGGTGACTTGTTGACTGGAGATGTTTCGATGAACTTTTCTGGTGATATAATTCCTCCTTCAACTGATGCGATTGTAAGTTTTGGTGATTTACTATCCATTTTTATTTATAAATTCTTTTTCAACTTGTTATTTTTCAATGTAGAAAATTAATTTTTATATTTTAGATTAATACTTTAAACTTTTTCAGAATAAGATTGATTGTTGGATCACTTGATTAGTGAATGATGCAATTGTAGCCAAAAATCTTTCATTTTATACAAACTTTTTGAGATTCCATAGTTAATAGTTTTTGAAACGTTTGATAAACTCTAGCGTTTAAGAGTTTTGCAAGTACACAAATGATATAAACTTACTACCTGAAATTGTATTGTTTACTTGTCTATATGGTTACCTAATTTAGTTTGTATAATAGGTTTGATTCATCATTTTTAGAAAATGATGAAAAGTATTGAAACATTTCGAAGGAAGAAACAAACTTCTAGACGACAAAACCTTAGAAAAAAAGGATAACTTCGAATAACGGACCCCGGACAAGACTCGAACCCACATCCTACGATTTCCGGTCGCATGCTCCTCTCAATAAGCTATAGTAGACGGGTTAGGCTAGGATTAGACGACTATAAACCCTATATATAAGTTACATTTATTTACTGTTCCCTTGCACCGCATGATTTATCGTTGACTGGCTTACATGGAGTCGCATATTCAAACAAAAAGTCATAGTATTCAAAGATAATAAGCAAATTACTTGAAAAAAATAAACTTTAGCATTCAGACCTTAAGATCCATAGCTGCGTGTTATATGCGTTACAATGTTAATGATAGTTTCACGAAAGAGGGTTTGCCTGACCTGCTCAAATCTAAACCTATGGTTTTTAGTGGGGTTCTACTACTGAAAACTAATCTTTTGATGACATCCTGTCTGTAGCCTACAAAGGAAGGCTGTGAGCCTCATTTCCAGTACATATAATTTGAAAAACGATATGCGAAAATTTCCCTTACCAAGTCACGAACTCATGATTGCTGTGTAATTAGGTACCCAAATACTATACCATTCCGAAACCGAGCTACTTCAGCTCATATAAAACAGCAAGTTGTTTACTTTTTTAAAAAATTTTTGATTTTATGTAAAATTCACTTTTAAAGCTATAAAGTGAATAGAATCAAAACGGATGTGTAGATCAAATAATTAAATTAGGCTTTTAAATTAATCTTAATCTGCATTTTCCATAGCTTTTACTAAATATGTAAACCTTTCTGTCTATATTATGTTTGAACGAATCATAATAATGTAAGCGATTTAATCAAATTAAATTAAAAGTTAATAAATATTTTTAATTTTTTTTTATTTTTCAAATAATATCTTTATTTTTTACATAAATTCAACAAATTTACAAAAAAAAATCTTTCCTGAATATAAATTAAGAACTGCCGAAATTTTCAAAGCATTGACTCAATTCTTCATTAACATATTCACGATTCTCAAAAACTTCTCTAAAATTACGATCAACACAGACATTGTTCAACAAATAAAGCATATCCAAACCTAAAGCTTGATCAAAGAACTCCCTGTCAATAGCATTAATTTGATTATCAATTGCATAAAAACTCTCAATTAAGTTTAAAGACCTTCCAAATGAGTTTGAATTGATTGTGGATATTCTGTTGCCACGAATTGATAAATATGTGATGTTTAAATTATTAAAGGAATCAGCTGGAAGCACTCTCAAGTTATTAGCATTCAAATGCAGATCACGAAGAGCTGGAAGGCTGACAAACCATTGTGGCTGAATTGTTCTTAATCCATTATAGTCAATAAATAAACTTTGAAGGCTCTGGAGGTTGCTGAAGGCACCAGGTGAAATGTTAATGTTCGGATTGAGTCCAATGTCAAGATACTCAAGAGCTGTAAGAGTCTCAAATGCTGATTCAGGAATGGACATCAATTGACTCTCATAAAGTCGAAGATCCTTCAATGTTCCACTGATTGAAGCTACCCAAGCTGAATTGAATGTGGCCAATGGATTCAATCCAAAATTGACTGTTGATAAAACAGACCCAGCAAATGCATTGTCAGCAATTGACACGATTCTGTTTGAATGAAGATCAACAAGGTGCAATCTTGGATTGTTGGCGAAAGTTCCAGCTTCAATTGTTGTGATTTGATTGTAAGCTAGGATAAGAATCTGTAGATTTGGGCAGTTGCCAACAGTTATTGATTCAACCTGACTGTCTTCAATAAAAATTTCAATTAAACTATTAAATTGGTCACAAATGATTGATGGAATGTTCCTAGTATTCTGATAGATTGTCTGAACAGCCATGACACTATTGTCATTAACATTTACCTCATGTTCTCCAGGAATTTCTGTAAATTGGTTATGTCCAGCAACATTGTTAATCAGCATAGTACATTGATACTCTTGTAATGCATTTCTATTGTAATAGCACTCAATTGATCCACGGAAGTTGTCAAAGCAATGTTGCAGACGTTCCCTTACTGTATCGCGATCATTGAAGACATTGTAGAAGTTACTAGATGTACATACATTGTCATATAAGTACAGGATATCCAAACTATCAGAATCATCAATCATTCGCTCATCAATGGCACTAATTCTGCATCCAACAGCATTTATAAATTGAATATTTCTCAGATTATCGCCAAATATATTTGAATTGATTGTTTCGATTGGATTAAGATTGACAAGGAGAGTGAGTAGTGACGTTAGGTTTGCAAAAATATTCTCTGGAAGCACTCTGATGTTGTTTCTGTAGATGTCAAGCTCACGAAGGCTTTCAAGATGTGTAAACCAGTTTGGGTTAAGTGTATCGATTCCAGCACTATCTAAGTATAAAATGCTGAGGTTTATAAGTGACTGAAAGATGTTAGCAGGAAGTCTGATTTGTGTATTGATACCAAGATCTAGAATTCGTAGACTTTGAAGACCATCAAATGAGTTTTCTGACAAGTCACGCAAGTTGTTTAGGTACAAATGAATATTTTCTAAGGTTCCTTCAATTCCATTAAGCATGTTTCTGTTAACTGTGGTCAATCGATTGTTGCCAAGATACAAAGTAGACAGCACAGATCCTGTGAATGCATTATCAGCAATGGTATGAATCCTGTTGGCCATAAATACAACTTCTCTTAATCTTGAGTTGTTGCTGAATATTCCAGATGGGACAGTTGTGATGTAATTGTAGTCTAAATTAAGTGATTCTAACTGTGCACAGTTCTCAAAGGCACCAGCAGTCAACGTTTGAACTCTCGAGTTAACAAATGAAACAGTATGAAGATTTGGGTACTGAGCGCAAATGATTCTTGGAACAATCCTTGTATTCTGTCCAATAGATTGAATAAGTCCAACATTAGCATTTAAAACTCCATCAGCTTGCTCAATTTCTTCATAATCATCATGTCCACTTGGATTATGAGCCGTTAACAAACAATTAAGCATATTATTAGGTCCAGTACTATGAACACATCTCAATGGATCACGTACAGCAAATCCATCAAAGCAATCAGCAAGTTCTACTCTGATTGATTCACGATTGAATGTAATTCCATAAAAATTGCGATTAGCACACTCGTTGTTAAGAAGGAACAAGTAATTAAGATTAACAGCATTATCGAAAAAGTCAGGATCAATTGAGGTTGTTGGATTTCCATCATTGTAGTAATGTAGTAGGTTTGATAGAGTGCTTCCAAAAGAATCTGAATGGACCATTGTGATTCGATTTAGTCCAAGATCTAAAGTGTAAAGTGTTGGGAGGTTGCTAAAAATAAAAATCAGTAAATTAGTCTATCAAAGCAAAGCAAAGGCAGTAGCAAGCTAGCTTAAGGTAACAACGGACACATATGTCACATAAGATTTGCACCAGCAAATGTCAATTATGAGGATTATTTGAGCTTTTTGAGCTTAAGTACAGGTATTTATATTTATATCTTCAAGTAGTCCTAATCAATGGCTGTTTATGATTATTGATCACGTTTTGAGCATTGAAACAAAACAAATTAATGTCTCAGACTTCTCATCAATGAATTTCCAGAAAGCATGACAATCACACGATTTTCTCATGGAACTAATCAATTGACTTTCTGATAATTAGTTCAGTGCTGATAACATTTCAAGTATTAAGCTTTTTCCTGTATAATTTTAAGACAATTCCCGAATGGCACAAGTCGGTTGATTAATCAGAAAAACGGCACTAAGCTAGTGTGACTCTGGCATGGTGCTGGATTTAAATCGAAGCAAGCACCATGCCAGAGTCATACCAGCTAAGTGCAGAGTTCTGATCGATTTACCGAGTCATTTAAATCATTTAAAGTCATTCGATTAACTTGTGCCATTCGGGATTACTAATTTGGGAATTTCTAAAAGATTATGAAATTGAATGTTATCAGCTTTACATATTTGAACTTCAATTGCTTTATTTTTGGGGATTGCTTATCAATATTACGGCATTTAATGGTGTTAATGTAAATCAGCTAAACCTCATAAAATTATAAATCCAAAGCTACTCACTCAAAAACACCAGGCTGCAAATTATCAATTTGGTTTTCATTCATCAACAAAAATCTCAGTTCCTGTAGCCCATTAAACCATAGTGGATTAATTTCACTGATTCCACATCCATCCAAATATAATCTTTGTAGACCTTGAAGTCGCTGGAAGACATGTGGAGTCAAGCTTAATTCTGGATTAAGTCCAAGATCGAGAGACATGAGGTTACTGAGGGTTTCGAATGCATCTTCAGGAACGTCTCTGATTCTGTTACCTGCCATGTAGATATAAGTTAAATATTGTTTTGATGGTTCAAACCATCGACCATCAATTTCAGTTATAAAGTTCCCTTCCAAGTCAATTAGTTCCATTTCTAACCCAGCAAATGCATTTGGTTCGATTCTGGATATCCGATTGTTATACATTTCAATTGTGAATATATTTGGATTGTTAATAAATGTAAAGTCAGGAATGGATGTGATTTCATTGCCATTGATATTCAAAAATGCTAAATGTCTGCAGTCTTCAAATGATTGCTCATTAATGACACGGACGTGGCTCTCTTGGATAAATAATTCATCCAAATTTGGGAATTGCTGGCAAATTATTGATGGAATATTTCTCGTATCCTGAACTTCAGCATCAACAAATCGGACATCATTGTTGCTTAAATCTTCATAATGGTCACCAGTAATTTCTGTAAAGTCATTTCGTCCTTGAACATTTTGGATCGTCAGTCGACAGAAGTAAACGAAGCTGTCATAGTATCTACATTCCATAAATCCATCAAACATTTGGAAACAATTAGCCATTTCTGATCTTACTAAATCTCGATTTTGGAACACTGTATTGTAATTTTCATTAGCACAAACATTACCATCCATATTAAGCATACGAAGGTTTGGTGCTTGATCAAAAATTTGACTATCAAAAGCACGAACTCGGTTGCTTTGGGCCATAAAGTAGATAAGACCTGTCAAATTACCAAATGACGATCCATGGACATTTCGAATTGAGTTTCCAGCCATTGAGAATATTGTAAGTTGCTGGATGTTTGCAAAGATATTTTCAGGAATCTCATGGATGTTATTGTTATCAAGTCGGAGTTCCGTTAATGCATTTAAACTGGCAAACCATTCAGGATTAAGTTCATCGATGCTGCAATTCATTAAAAGTAAGCTGTCAAGTCTTGTAAGGTATCTGAAGGCATCAGCAGGAATGTTTCTTAGACTATTGCTTCCCAAATCCAATTCTGAAAGGTTGTTGAGTCTGTTAAAAGCTCCAGGTGGAAGTGAAGTGATTTGATTTGATGTTAGATACAATTCTTGTAAGCTGCTGGATATTGGATCAAAAATGTGAGGATTAAAGTCACTGATTTGATTGTTTGAAAGACCAAATACTCTAATCTGTGTCCCAACAAAGGCATTGACTCCAATTTGGCTGATTTCATTCACAGATGCTTCAAATATGGTCAACAATGGACTGTTCTGGAATAGTCCGTCAGGAATCCTTGTGATTCTATTGAATGACAAAATAATTCGCCATAAATTTTCACATGCTGCAAAGGCATCAGCTTCAATGATTTCAATCTGATTCTCTTCCATGTAAATATCCTCAACATTTGAAAACTGCCTACAAATTACAGACGGGAAGTTCCTTGTGTTCTGATAAATAGCTTCAAGAACCAGTACATCACTGTCTGTATTTCCAGGCAAATGAGTTCCATCAATTGTCTCAAAGTCATTACCAACTGGGTTGTTGATGTACAGGACACACTCGTATGGGAACCAAAGCATTCCAACGTACAGACATCGAGCTGATCCGATGAAATTTGTAAAGCATTGCTGAAGCTCCTCGTTCATTTGGTCACGATCAAGAGGAACATTGTAGTAATTTCTGTTCAGACAGTCATTACCTAAAAGCAGTAACCACATCAATGACTCAGCATTGTTTACTAGTTCCTGGTCTAATGCAACAATTCTATTATAACTCAAGTGTAAGTATCGGATGTTTGCAATTGCACTGCCAAATATTGAAGCTTTTACAAATGCTAAGTTGTTTGTTGATAATTCTAAAGTTTGAAGAGTCGATAAGCCATCAAATGAATTGTCTGGAATGTCTCGGATCTGATTGTAAGACAAATGAATGTTCTCAATGGCAGTCAATGGTCTGAACCATGCTGGATCAATTGTTGTTAAACCTATTGAATTCATGTACAATCTTCGTAAGCTGCTTAAACCAAAAAACACTTGACCATAAAGAACTGTTCCTTTATTGACTGAGATGTCAAGTTCCCTCAAGTTTACGAATCTGTCAAACACAAATGACGAAAATCCCAAAATGCGATTGTAATCGAGCAGCAAGACTTCTAATGTATCTTCAATTCCACTGAACCAATTTGGGTTAAAGAATGTCAGTGAATTTTTACCAAGGTCGATGTAGCTTAGTCGAGTGCCTGCAAACACATCATTGCTGATTTGCTCAATTCTGTTGTCATCCAAAATAGCAACTTCAAGGTTTGAATTTTGTGAGAATATGTTCTGTGGAAGTGACTGAATTTCATTTCCAGACACCATCAAGAATTCAAGCCGTGAACATCCAGCGAATGAACCATCGTCAAGGCTTCGTATATGACTTGAACCAATAATTAAATCCAAAATATTTGGAAACTGTTCGCAAATTATTGATGGAATGTTTGTGGTATTTTGGTATGTGATATAAAGTCTCTCAACATCAGCATTTCCAAAACCTTCTAAATGCTCTCCATCGACGTTTGTAAAGTCATTATGACCATTTGGATTGTGAATATTAAGATTACATGTGTATCCACTGAGACCTGTAGGTGCTTGATAGCTGCACGATATTTGAGCATCCTCACGAGTAACTTTTGGAACTTTTATGACATTTGCTAAGCACAAAGTTACACTACCGAAAAATAAAATTAAAAATTGAAGCTTCAGCATTTTGCGAAGCATTCTAATGAAATTCCGAAATAAAACTGAATTATTTGGAAATTCTCAAGATTTTTGGAGGTGCTGATTGTGAAAGAATTATCAAAAAATGTTTATTTGTGTGCTTAAATGATAAACAGTTTCCTTTTGATAATAACTCGCACTTGAAATAATTCAATTATTAACTAATCTTGCTGATATTGCTGTTATCGCTTAGGTTTTTAGGTCCACAAATAAGAGACGATTTGATTAATTTTTTTTAAAGAATTACACATTTTTAAAATTTTAAAAAAAAAAACTTTTTAAAAATATGCAAAAGATTTGAAATAATTCAAAAAAATTAAAAAAAAATATTAAAATAACCTAAAGCCATAATTTCATAAATTAGGAAGTTAAAAATGAAAAAAAAAATTAAATTAACTTAAAACCAAAATTTTATAAATTAAAAATAAAAAAAAATTTAAAAATTCTCATCGAAAAAAAAAGATAATTTTTGCCAAAAAAGTAGTCCGCCCGAGCAGGGACTTGAACCCTGGACCGTTGGATTAAAAGTCCAACGCTCTACCAACTGAGCTACCCGGGCATATAGTTACTCTATGACAAAAGCTTAATCTAAAGCACGATCATGTGTATTACAGAACAGCATGATCAAAAAACAGACACGCATTAGTAAACATTTGAATAGTGTGAAGAAGAAGAAGAGTTTTAGATTGAAAAATGCTGTATGGAGGAAACAATGTTTGATAAAGCTTGACATTGAAAATAATTTGTATTGGATTAAAAAAATAAAATTTCTGGTTCTTATTAGAATCTTGTAGATGGAATGAAATCTTGTAGAAACCCAAACAACTCATGGAAAGAGGCTGTTGATAGAGACAGTGTTGCATTTGGAATCGGCAATTGGCAGACAGTAACTAGCGATAGAGCTAGTTTTAGAGGATGACTAAGGAAAGTCGTGGATCACAATTGATCTGTGCGACCAGCGAAGTAAGTATTATGAAATTAAATTTGAAAATTCAAAAAATAAAAAAGGAAAAAAAAATTAAAAAGCATTTTTTTTAAAATTACCGAAAAGTTTTAATTTTATAAAACAATTAAAATCTTTAAATTATTTTAAAATATAAAAATATTTTTATGCTAAAATTGAAAATATTTCAAAAATTTAACAATTTAAAAAAAGTCAAAAAATTAGCAAACAAATTATTTTCTTAGTTCGATTAAAATTAAGAACCGAGAAAATTTAACCTCAAGTTTTGCACACGATGCTTTAAAATCTTTATAGCAGTTTCTACTAAAATAAAATTGACATTTATGGGCAATTCTCCAGATGAGTTGAGTTTTTGAAAAAAGAGCTTTTATAATCCAAAGTCATTTACTGTTTACTTTCAATTTTTTTTTTTTTGTAAATATCTTGTCAATTTCTTTGTTTTGATTGCTTAAAGCAACTTTAAACTGTTTATTACGATTGATTCTTACTGAATCAACAATAATTCAACCATGAAGTGTTAAATTAAGACTAAAATTTAATTTTTATGAAATATTTGCTTTGCATTTTTTTCATGGATTTGCAAAATAAAAGCTTAATTTTTTTACTGTCAGCAAAAAAATCCACCAAAGAATCAAAAATTCTCTTTAAATAGTAATAATTGGAGTGGGATATGATTATGGTTAGATAGATTAGCTCAAAAACTACATTTCTGCATAATCATAATAAAAAATGAGCGTTTACTTTTCTTCAATTTTCGATTCTCCGGATGATTATTCCATTTTTTGCTGACAGTAATTTGCAAAAAAAATTGAAAAAACTTAATTATTGGCTACTTTCAAAGACTTAAATATGTATATAAAATATAATAGTTTTTGCCATTTTACATCGATTTAAATGAAAAGTTATGCTTGGTAATGGAAAATTTCCGAGAAAATTTGATTCTCCGGATGATTTTTTGAAAAACTTATCTGGAGAATTGCCCTTATTTGACACTTTGAGTTATCAGAGCAAAACAACAACACGAATGTTAAGCAGAAATTAATCAACTCCAAGTGTTTATTATTTAAGCTTCGGATTTCCCGTTGTTCTTTTTTTAATTTTATCTTATCAGAATATTTGCTGATAGATTTCCAGAAAATCTTAATTTATTTCCTGTTATCTTAACATTTTGACAATATTGCAATCAGGTTGGGACACTTTGAATCAAAAAGTGATAGACAGTAGCTAGCTGTTGATGATATCTAAGAAGAAGCACAAATCGCAATCTATAGAATCAACTTCAATTGTTGGCATCTAAGCTTTTTTTATGAGCTGGAGTGGCTCGGTGGCAGAATGGTTAAGTACCTCAGTACATAATCATTACAATACCATCACAGAGATCATTGGCTCAAGACACGGCATATGAAGTTTTCGCATGTCTTTTTTTTTGAATTATAAGTACTGGAAATGAGGCTCACAGCCCTCTTTGTAGGCTACATACAGAAATGCCCTCAAAGGAGTGGTTCGGATCCAAATTTAAACTATAGGCTTAGGTTTGAGCGGAAGGTCTGGCGATCTTTCTCTCGTTAAACCACAATTAGCTTTGTACCGCATATAATGCGCAGCTATGGATCATAAGGACTGGACAGCAAAAGTTTTTATTTTTTAATAATTTTTTTCTTAAGAAATTTAAACTCAATTAAAACCGACAATTATCACTTGCTGTAAAATAATTGTTATCAATCAGAATTAACCAGCAATAAAAGACTTATCTATAGTAATTAAGTATCTTATCCATAACTCATAGGCTCTTAAATTTTTTTCTATAAATTGCTCATCAATTTGAACAAGCATCTTAGTTTTTACAGGCTTTCCTTTCGTAAGCATGAAGCCTTACATGCTAGCTAGTGTCTTTTTATTATTTTACACAGTTTTCGTCCATTCAGCGTCGGTTGTGCCTAAAGTTTTTAGTGATGATGAATTTATAAGTTGTAATTATGTTGGAGGAAGTGATGGTGCAAGTTATGAGTGCATATTGTCCATAAATAATCCAAATGGAATTGAATTTGATCAGATTGAAGGCACACATCTGACAGGATTAAGTAATGCGGATGTGGAACTTGTGAATGCATATTCTGGCAACTCAAGGATCATTCCATCAGTTATTTGCCGCCAGTTCCCTAATGTCTATCATTTAACAATCATGAGCATTAATGTTGAGGAACTAACACCAGCTGCTTTTGCTGAATGTCGTAATTTAGTCGACGTGTTCTTAGTGTTCAATCAAATCACATCAGTTCCTGCAAATACATTCGCAAATAGTCCACGTCTTGAATACATTGAATTATCCAGGAACAGAATTTCTGAATTAAATGAAAATTCATTCACTGGAACTGCTTTGAGCTTTGTCGCAATTGACTATAATGAACTTTCATCCTTTGATCAAAATTGGTTCACATCAATCAATGGAACTTTGAGACATTTGGAATTTATGCAGAATAGAATTGAAGAGTTGGAACCTAATGCTTTTGGGTAAGTTTGGGGATTCACTATCTGTGGATATGGCTTGAGTAGCATATTTGTAGTAGATAAGCCTGAGCATAGGGCTCGCGTTGAACTGGTTATATGTGAATGAAGGATGGAAGGAAGGACCTCGGTTGCCAAGTAGCAAGGATCTCTGATCGAGTGGTCAGAGATCGCCTCTTTTGAAGTCGTGGGTTCGATTCCCATCAAACCCGACTTGTTTTGCATTTGTGTACACATATGGCAGTTGAAGGAAGATCTACACTATCCATTATCAAAATCACTTCCTCTTTTCAATTTGACAATAACCGACACATGTTTAAGCATTTCATAACATGATAAAACCAATCAATTAAAAAACAATTACCAAGTGGATTATTAAGGACCGACAAATAAAGTGTTGGAAGAATTATCAGCCACATCTCTGATTAGCCGAAAAAGGAAGCGACTTAATGTCAAATTGATAGTAACTTGTTCTTTTATATTGTTTTATTGATACTTGAAATTGTTATGTTCATTTGGGTGATAAATGACAACAATTATGTCTTAGTCATTTATTTTGAACTTGGCAGCATAATACTTAAAAATGATAAACTTCAAGGTTATGTCTACTTTTATTTTAATGTGATTCTTCTTATTTCTTATCTCAGAAATCTTCGAGAATTAAGAGAACTGATCTTCAACTATAACACATTAACATCAGGAATTGCAGATGCAGCATTTGATGGTCTCAACAACCTTGAAAGCCTCTCATTATCCCGAACTGGAATAACATCAATAAGTCCAGCATGGTTCAGCACACTGTCATCATTACGAGCATTTTATGCTGTAGGCAATGAAATTACAGAATTAGTCAACGGCACATTTAATTCATTAACCAACTTCCGTGAACTTTATCTTAATGGAAATAGAATTCGAGTGATTACAAGTGGAGCTTTTGGTCCAAGTGCCAGAAATCTTCGAACATTCTACATCAGTGACAATCGAATTAATAATGTTGATCCATATTGGTTGAATGATGCTGAAAACCTTGAGTATCTTTTATTAGCTGGCAACTTGTGTACGGATCAAGATTTCCTTAATGTTCCTGCAATGAGATGGAGAATTTTTGAGGAACTCCGCCAATGTATAGACAATTATATGCTGCAACCATGGGCTCATTGTCGATATGAAATGACTGGCATATACTCGTGTGCACTTATGACTCACAATCCAAATGGCGTTAATGATTTCACTGAAGTCTATGGTGAGCATGTGTCTGGACAAAACAATTCAGATGTTGTACAAGTCACGGCAACTTTCTCAAACACGAGAATCATTCCAACAATTCTATGTCAGCAATTCTCTAACTTGAGAACGATTGCACTTATTAACAGTAATGTTGAGGATTTAAGTGAAGAGAGCTTCACACATTGCGCACATCTTGAAGCACTCTCGCTTCACAACAATTGGATTGAAACGATCGCCGACTTTACATTTAGAAATGCACCAAATTTAAGAAATATTGACATTGGTGGAAATAGAATCGCAACTTTATCACCAAACTCATTTACAGGAACTCGACTTGATTTTATTGATTTGGATATGAATCGCTTCTCATCATTTGACCAGAGATGGTTGGAGTCGGTTAATTCTACATTAACTGGAATTGACTTATTTGGGAACTCTCTTGTGATGTTGGAAGCTGATGGATTCTCGTAAGTATTTTGTCACTTGACTGCCTTAAGTAAAGAATGTAAATCTGTGTCTTGAATCATAATTGACTAGCTTGACTGATTAAACTAGCACGACAAACTTTACTAACATTGCTAATCTGTTCAATTTTGTTTACAGGAATCTCGTCAACTTACAAACTCTCCATCTAGGCAGCAATCCCCTTTGGAATATACCAGCAACAGCATTCGATTCTCTCGTCAATCTTTTATTATTAAATCTAAGTCGATGTTCGTTAGCATCATTAAATCCTAGTTGGTTCCGAAACCTTCGTAATATTATGACTTTGAGCATCCATCACAACAATATTGACGAGTTTCCAGATGGAGTCTTTGACTCATTAGAAAGTTTGTTTTCAATTTCATTTAATGATAACAATTTGAGGAAAGTTAGCGCAGATGCTTTTGGATCGTCTTTGTCAAGTATTAATTCAATAACTGCTGATCGGAATCGCATTCGAGCATTTGATCTGAGAATAGTTTCAGAGGCTTCAAATCTCAATTGGTTGTTTCTTCGAGATAATATTTGCACACAAGAAGATTTTATGAACATTCAAGTTGATAGAGATTTTGTGATTAATAGGCTGTATACATGTGCTTCAAACTTTGGACCTGAAAGTATCAGATGCTTATTTTATCAGCCTGGTGAGCAATACACATGCTCATTAAGAATCTTCAATCCATTGGGGAGGAATAATTTTGAAGATGTCGAAGGTGATCATATGACAGGCAGGACTGATGAAGATGTTCGAATTATGTATATTAATGAAGGCAAGACATTGAACATTCCATCAATTATTTGTGAGAAATTCCCTAATTTAGAGTCAATGGACTTCCTTCATGATGAAATTGAGTACTTGGAAGAAAGTTCCTTTGGTAACTGCCGGAACCTTCGAAGAATTTACGTCTATGACAATGAAATTGAGAGCATCCCTCAAGGATTATTTAGAAACAATCCATTGCTTGAGGAGCTTAGTCTTGGACACAACAGATTGACAGCACGTGGAATTCCTTCAAATATCTTTGCTGGCACTTCCTTAACATTCCTTGATTTAAGTCAAAATCCAATTCAAGATTTCAATTCAGCATGGATCATTCCTGTGGCATCAACGTTGACTACATTAGAAATTTATGAGATTGGTGCTACTCACCTTCCAATTCTATTCTTCAACAATCCATCAGTTCTTGAAGTTTTGGATGTGTCTAGAAATCCAATCAGAGAAATAATTCCAGCAGTTTTTGATCGTCTGCCAACACTTAAGGAACTCGATATGGCTGAGTGTCTTTTCCGTTTGATTGATCCAAATTGGTTCCAACAACTTAGAGCACTTGAGACATTGAGATTAAATGGAAACTCCTTACTGAGTATTCCAGAAGGCACATTTGCATCTTTAACAAATTTAAGGACACTTTACATTTACAACAACAGACTTCGTGAGTTAAATGTTGCCTCATTTGGAGCATCTATAACTTCACTGCAGTTCCTTTATGCAAGCTACAATGATATTATGGGAGTTGATCCAACATTCTTGACATCAGCATCAAGTCTTTCTATTTTATACATGGCTGAAAATGTCTGTGCACAAGGAACCTTCTATAATGTCAGTCAAGACACGTCACCAGTTGAAGAAGCTTTGTCGTCGTGCATTAATAACTTCTCAACTGAAAATATTCGCTGTAATTATGTTAGAGCTTCACAGAACAGATATAGCTGCTTAATGGATACATTCAATCCACTGGGAAGAAATAATTTCCAGCAAGTTGATGGTGAACATTTAGCAGGTAGCAGTGATAATGATGTTGAGGTCATTGAAATTAGGAACCAAAATACTAGGTAAGAATTTATTGTTTGCTCGTTTCGAGCAGCTTAACACCAAGCTACATCGATGAAAGAACTGAATCTTTAAATCTATTAATTCCTTTTCAGAATCATCCCATCCATCATCTGCAATCAATACAGAAACTTGAGAGTCCTGACAATCTTCAACAGTCATCTTGATCTCCTCTCAGAAAGAAATCTCAACGAATGCCGGCACTTGACTAGCTTGATGATCTATCAAAATGATTTGCGAGAGCTTCCGAACTATGCCTTGCTGAATAATGATGCAATTGTTCATTTGGAGCTTGGATTCAATAGAATCAACAGAATTGGTGACTTTGCATTTACTGGAACTGCAGTTGAGTCTTTAGATCTTGCTGGCAATGATTTGATGATGTTTAATCCTTTTTGGTTTGAGCCAATTAACAGCACATTGCAACATCTAGATTTACTTAATGCAAATATTCGAGCAATTCCTGCAAATCCATTTAGAAATATCAGGAACTTGAGATCTTTGGTTCTTAGTAGAAATCCATTGTGGAGCTTACCTGCAAATATATTTGAAGGACTTGATAACCTCGAAGATCTTTACTTGTCAAATTGTGAGCTTTCATTTTTTGATGCCAACTGGTTCCGTCCTCTTGGCAGTGTTCGTACTTTGTACCTTGATAATAACTGGTTCAGTGTTACTTCACCCAACATGTTTAATTCATTTAGAAGCCTTTCAATGATCAACTTATCCAACAACTTTTTCTGGAATATTGGTGCTGTAAATTTTGGCAACTCACTGTCAAGTGTCCAGATCATTAACTTGTCAAATAATTTAATTAATCTTATTGATGAATCCTTAATCCGTCAAGCCACAAACTTGCAACGATTATACTTAACTGATAATTCATGTTCCAACCAGAATCTTATTGAAGTCAATACAAATGTTAATCGTACATTAAATGACATAAGAAGTTGTGTAGACAATTTTGTTGCTGTTCCCTCCATCAGCTGTACATACAGTCAAATCTCAAGCAGTCAATATATGTGTGCATTGTCAGTTCATGATCCATGGGGAACTGACAACTTCCAAAACATACCTGGAGATCATGTAGGTACTCGAAGAAACGACGATGTCACAAGTATTATGGCTGCTAATCAAGATTCTAGGACTGTACCAAATATCATATGTAGACAGTTCGTTAATTTAACAGATATTTCAATCTACCGCAGTCGTATAGCAGCTGTGAATTTAAGTCCATTCATTAACTGCAGAAATCTACGAATTTTAATGCTTGAAGGTGGATTCATCACAACTTTGACACCAAAAATGTTTCCAAATAATCCAAATCTTGAGTATGTCAGCCTTGCTGATAATAGAATTTTCAACATAATGAACGGTGCATTTCAAGGTGCTAGAATCAAAACTTTAGATCTTGCATTCAACAGGCTGTCTACAATCATACCAGAAGTAATGAGTCCTATAAGTGACACATTGACAGTTCTTAACATGGTCGGTAATCAAATTCGTGGTTTCCCATTCGGAGCATTTGAGGAACTTACAAGCATTGAAGAACTTTATTTGGATAGAAATCCATTGACTGAGCTTAAAGACGAGACTTTCCTTACTCTCTCAAGTTTACGTGTTCTGTCTATGGCACATTGTCAATTAAGAAGACTCAATGGAGTCATGTTTTATGATTTTGTTAACATGCACACATTAAAACTGAATGATAATGAGATCGAAATGCTGCCTGAAGGTGCATTCCACAATATGACAAGTCTAGAGGTCCTGTACATTGGAAATAACAGAATCAACTTCTTAAATGCTACGCAATTTGGTGGTGCAATGTCGTCAATAAGAATCATCAATGCTCCGTCCAACAGAATTAATGCAATTGACAGAAATCTTCTTCAAAACTCTCCGAACCTTAACAACTTGTTACTTCCTGGAAACATTTGTATTGACGAGAGCTTCAATTACGTCCAAGATGAGCTTGAAGCTGTTTTAGATGCACTTAACATTTGCTTTGATAATTTTGATGTTGAACCTGAAATTGAATGTACTTATGACATTACAGTCAATGACGAATATCGATGTGATGCTCGCATACATAACCCAGTTGATGAAGACTTCCAAGCTATTGCTGGACAGCACATGAGTGATAGATCTGACGATGATGTACAACTAGTCAGTGTCTTGCAACAAAATACTAAGACATTCCCAGCTGTGATTTGCAGACAGTTTAGAGATATTAGGGAAATTTTTGTTATGGAGAGTCATTTGGAGATTCTTGAGGCACCAGCTTTTGAGAACTGCAGGACATTAGAGCAAATCTATGTCAATCAGAATAATATTGCAACAATTCCTGCCAGACTGTTCATTAACTCACCAAACTTGTTCTATGTCTCATTATCGACCAATAGAATCAATCAAGTTCATCCAGACTCATTTGTTGGAACTGTCGTTGAGTCATTGGACTTGGGTAATAATCGATTAACAAATATTAATCCTCAATGGTTCGCACCAATCAGTCAAACACTTGACATGGTAGACTTCTTTGGAAATTTATTGACTAGAGTTCCGGACAGAACATTCACAGCACTTTCAAATCTAGAGTTTCTTATGCTTGGCAATAATCACGTTGAATTTGGTGACAATCCATTCGATGGTCTCACAAATTTAAAGATCATTGGTCTCGGACGTAATGGACTTCGTGAGTTGAATCCTTTATGGTTTACTCCAATCCCACAACTTGAAGAGCTTTTCCTTTGTGGCAATGGAATTAGTGAGCTACAGGATGGAATTTTCAGTAATTTCACAAATCTTTTAACTCTTCGACTTAATAATAATTTCCTTTCCACTGTTCGTGCTGCTTCAATTGGATCTGCTGTCAGTACATTGAGGAATTTGCAGTTTATTGGCAATTACATCACTTCGTTTGATCAGGAAATTCTTAATGATGGAACTAATTTACAATATTTGATGTTGGCTGGAAATGTCTGCATTAATGAAAATTTCTATGATGTGCCAAATGAACGAAGTCGTATTAGTGAGCTTTTGCAGCAATGCTAGACTAAAATTTTGATTTATAATTTACTGCCTATGTTAATTTGGCCTTGAAAGAGTGGCTAATTATTAAATCTATTATAAAAAAAAAAACAATAAAAGTTAAATTAAATTTGAAATATGTTTTATCTTTCAGTTTTTTAATTGAATCCTCCTTATTGACATTCCTGAGTTATTGTTCCCTTAATTTCATGAGCTTCAAGCTTTACGAAACCCTAAGATAAGTCTTTAAGTTATCTTTAGTTTTTTTTGTGGTTTATCTTTCTGAATTGTTATCGTTTATTTACAAAAGACAGATAATTTTGCAAAAAATAAATTTGCAATGTACATCAAATAGATAACTTGTCAGTCTACTTTTGTTTTTGTCAGAAAAATAACATTTTTTCGAATTTATTATGAAAAATCTCATAATAAGCTGTTTAGTAGCATTTTGTGCTGCAGATTTATATCGAAAAGTTCCTGCCGAAGATAATTTTGAATTTGATAATGTGGGTTTTTTTTTAAAATTAATTAATTATTTCACACCATGCTTTGAAACCAGTCGGTATTAGAGCTCGAAGTCGACAAGATTCGACTCGAGTTGTCTCGATTCGACTCAAAACCGAGTCGACTTAACTTTTCTAGAGTCAACTCGAGCTCTAGTTGGTTTACCTCAAAATAACGCCAACTTCTATAAAAATACCCCTAAATATCCCCAAGTATCGCCTTTGAAATACCGCCTGGTTTCCGAGCCTGGAATTTTCATTCTCGCGAAACCGACAAAGATTTCTCTTGAACAAGTCGACTTTAAACTAACTCTTAAAAACTATAAGTTTGCAGGAAAATGGTTCGAACTTTACTATAACAATCTAAACTCTCAAGTTGAATGTAGTGTTTTGAATTATTCACCAAATGATCAAAAATATAATTTTAATGTCGACGGAACATATGTTTTTGATGATAAGTACGAGAGTAGTCATCAGTTGCATCAACTGACATTTCCTAAAGAGAATCCACATCGAGGTTTATTTAATGTTACTGATCATAACAATGAAAATAAATTCTCAAATTTTACGTACAGAGTCTTTTCGACAGGTATGAAAAATATGCATAAATGCTCATTCATTTAAATCAAGGGTGTGGAACTGATCATTTTTTGATCATTTAATCAGTTCTGGACCCTTTTCGAGTGGACACAGCTAGTTAAAGTTACTAGTTATATTTACCAGAATTTTAACTTGCCAAAATTTATATGACATACAGAACTAGACGTTAACTAGACTTTAACTAGACTTTAACTAGACTTTAACTAGACTTTAACTAGACATATGTGCAATTCCTATGTCCAGTTAAATGAAACGTGCAAAATATGTCATGAGTCGTCCCTAAGACTAGTTCCAAAGGCAAGTAAATGCATACTTACTCGCCGTGAATAAGCAAGTCAATGGCAAGCTTTTAACTAGTTCTTTGTCCACTCGGGCTTGATATAAAGTTAACATTAAATTCTTCAAAAGACTATTCAAACTATGCAATAATCTGGATGTGCTATGAGCTGAATTCTAAACTAATTGAAGATATCGCTATTTGGGGTAGAAAAACTAATTTTTCTGAAGAATTGTACATCAAAATTGAAATGGTCTTATCCAAACTCAATGCTAGTTTGGAAAGTTTTAAAAAGATTGATCACAGTCCTGAAGCGTAAGTAGCAGTTAAAAATTATAAAAGTTTAATTTAAAAAAATCATTAATTTTGAAATGTTCTAGATGCCTGGATTGGTGATTGACATTGATTATTACAAGGCGCATAGCCAAGGTGGAAGGAGGGTATTTGGGTGACAAATCCCCCTACCTTAACAGAATTATTTTCATTTTTCTAGGGGTTTCAATAAAAAAATTTTTGTGCAAAAATCTTTAAAAATCCAGCGTCCCCGGCGTTGGTACTAAAATTTTTTCGAACCCCTCTTCAAATTTCTGGCTACACCCCTGACTATTAAAAAAAGCTAATATTTTTAAACAATGTAAAATTTTATTCTCAGTCTAAATTTCAATTTATGAATGAAAAAAGTAAAAACAATTGTCAAATGATGTTGAACAAGATTTAAAATGTTTCGTTTTTTTTACTTATTTTTAAGGTGGTACTATTCATGTTAAATGGATTACTTTTATCAAAATCAAATTGGACTAGTGAAAATAAAAATTTCTGCTGAAAAATTAAGAATTTTTTTCAAATGTTCAGATTTATGGCTAAACTTTCGAACTGCACACTTTTGAGCGAGACTGTCCCGTTTTTTTTTTGAACCTATTGTTCTTCGAAAATGCCTGAATATTTGTTCTGTTCCACATTTTGATTGAAAATCGGCAAAAACCGATAAACAGCCATTCATGGTACATGAATAGGGTTACCATCTAACTTTCATGAAAATACAGGACATTTGGTAAATATTTTTGAAAAAAACAGGATATAGAGTAAAATTCGAAAATTAACGGAAATTTTCATGAAAAAAATACAGGACCAAGAACAAAATTTGAAAATTTATACAGGACAGTCTTGAAAAATACAGGACTGTCCGTTGAAAAACTACGCAGATGGTCACCCTACACATGAACCTTCAATACAAATTTTTTTTTATTTCTTTGGATCCAGTTTGATTTTGATCAAAGAAAACCATTTCACGTTAATGTTTCCACCTTGCTAGTTTCACAGGCTTTTGTTTTTGATTCATAGTAGTCTGCGAAGTTTCATAACAGCATTGATTACTTTAAAAGAGCTTTAAAGAAATGCATTTTTCAATATTCTTGCTTATAATGCAATTTAGTATAAATTGCTTTTGTCAAAAGACAGGTTCAACTACAAATAAAATCAAAACAACAACTCCAGCATTAAGAAGACTTTTAAACTCTAGTGAACCAGTTAGCTTGAGAGAAAAAGGTTTAACTTTTGCAATTCTAAGGACAACTACAGAACGAACAACTTCAACAACTACCAGGACAACGAAAACATCATTAACAACGAAGACGTCGACAACAAAAACTCCTTCAACAATTCAAACAACGGTTACATCAACGACTTCAACAAGCACAACATCATTGACAACAGAAACACAGACAACCACACCTAGGCCAACCATTCCATTTTGTGGTGAGTATGCTTTAGATGATAAAATTTACTTCCAGACTGAGTTTTATTTTCTTAAATTTCAGATCTGACATGGAAGCGTTATGATCCATTTTATGATCCTCATGCACCAGAAAAAGATGGATTATTGCTTGGTAACTACATTGATGGATCCCCAATATATGTTGGTCGAGGTTCAAGCACTTATTTCCGAAAATACACTTTTCCCGCTCGAGTCTACATTAATGAATCTAATTCAAAATCGGGAATCTACGTTGTCTCATATCCTAATGAGTTTTGTGATACATCAGGAACAGCTGAATATCTTGCAACAAATCCTGATTATGACTATAAATGGATAGCTTCATCAGAAGGACAAATGGAGATGAATGCAGTTGGATGGGCGAATTCAAGGATTAACATTAGTGTTGCTAGAATTAATTTAACAAGAAATGATGGAACTGAGATATCACAAATTGGTGCCTCTGTTGTGTCACTTGGAACTATTTACTATGATCCTGTAAAAGATGTAATTGGAACGATGGGTTTAAGGTCTTATGAAGCTTTAATTTGTGTGCCTAAGAGTGTAAAGTATGAGTCAGATTTTTGTGGTAATTATTGATTCCGGTGCTACATTTTAAACAAGCATTACTTAAATTATTACATTATGTAACATGTTCTTATTTGTAGCATTCGAGTGGAAGCTTTATGACCCTCTAAACAATCCAAATGCACCAGTCACAGATGGTATTTTAATAGGAAATTATTATGACAACACTCCAATCTATTTAGGTCGTGGAAATGACATTTGTGAAGCAATATCACCAGCACGTGTAAATATCGTCAATGATACTCAATCACCTGGCGTCTACACATCATGTGATGGAATAGAACTTGTCGACACTTCAATGTCTGCTGAGTATTTAGTCAAAAATCCAGATTATACATATTTTTGGGTAAAAGCTTCATCAAACGATAAAATTTTGAATGCTGTTAAATGGAGATTCTTAGCTGATACCTTAGCTGTGTCAAGAATCAAAATATATAACAAAAAAACAAAATCACGTTTTGTAACAATTGGAAAGACATTCGTTGGAGCTGGAACTTGGTACTACAATCCATTAACAAATTACACGGATAGTGTTGGAATGCAGGATGTTGAGATTCTGCTTTGTTCTCCAAATAACTCAACAAAGCCAATTGAAGCACCTATTAAAGGATGTGGTAAATAATTGTGTTATAGTTGAATCTATAGTTTAGTTCAAGGTGTGGAAACTCAGGATTAATCATGAAAAATCCTAAAAAATCCCTGAGCCAATAAACATGGAAATGTGAAATCACTTTTAAATTCCTGATACATTTTATGAATAATTTCGGGATTAAAAAGGGATTTTTCATTTCCATGTTTATTGGCTCAGGGATTTTTTAAGTATTTTTGGGATTTTTCAGGATTAATCCTGAGTTTCCACGCCATGGTTTAGATGTAACTAGACACCATAATGAGTAAGCATGAAGAGACTGACCAATGCCGTTGTGCTCAATTTAATAACTTTTTGCAGTTCATGAATGGAAGCGCTTCAGCTATCGCTCTAAAAACATTTCACAGCTTGAAGATGGAATCATAGCAGGATCTTATGTGGATGGAAGTCCATTTTATGTTGGAGCTGGATTTCAATTAAATACCAGCGATATTGTTCCTGCTCGTGTGATAGCTGCGAATTCATCAAAACCTGGAGTCTATGTTTGTGTAAATGGATATGAATATATTGATCGCAAGTCATCTGCTCAGTATTTGGTTTACAACGATAGTCAGGTAAGAGGTTGATTCCTGGTTTTGAGGACAGAGAACAAACTTAATAGTAAAGTATTTGACTTATTACGTGAACTCAAAAGCTCAAAAGAGGTGATCTCTGACCACTCACTAAGAGATCCCTGCCACTCGACCAACGAGGTACTTATCTCACTTGGACTATCCGTCTTACACATATAACCAGTTAAACGCGAGCCTTAGTCTGAAGCCTATCTACTACAGATATGCTCTTGGAGCCTTAATCCAAAAAGTTGCCCATTATCTATTTATTTTTTGGTTTATCCCGCTTCTTGATCAAAATTCAGCAAAAACCGAAGGACAGCCTTCATATGATGAGACTCTTGCTCACAGATTAGGCTGTCCACATCTTGTTATGAATAAAAATTAATTAAAATTTCAAATCCTCAGATCTACACCTGGGTAAGGAGTAAACCTAGATACTATGTTCCAAATCAAATTGAAATTGATGGATTATATGCAACCTACACTATTGCTAGAGTCAACTTAACAGACACAAATAATCAAACATTTTCCCAAATTGGAACTAATTATATTGGTGCCGGAACTTATTATTATGATCCTATTAATAACATAATGGGCAGTTTAACAAATTATTTGGATTATGTTGATATTCTGACTTGTGTTGTGAAGAACTACTAATAATATGGAGCTTATTAATCAGCCAATCGCTGATTCAAAAATATCAAAAAATAAATATCAATTTTTAAAAATTAAACACTTTTATTTAAAAACTCAAAAATTCTTAATCTAAATTTTCCTCAATCATATCATTTAAGCTGTAGCGTTGAAGTTGTTGAAGCATGGCTCCAAAATTTGCATAACATTGTCTCTATTTTGACGGACATCAATGAAATTATTGTTATTACAAACATTTCCAGCCAATAAGAATGTGTCCAAGTTACGAGCATTTACAAAGAATTGACGATCAATTGCATTAATTTGATTATTTTCAGCATCGATATGAACAAATTCACCAGCATGTCCTCCAAATGATCTCAAATCTAATCTTGAAACGCGGTTAAAGGCAAATCCAAGATGTTCAAGTGATGGCAAATTGAAGATTTCTACTGGAAGCTCTGTGATTCCATTTGAATCAATTTCGAGGAATGTCAAGTCTCTCAAGTCATCGAACCAGCGATGATTCAAATTATTGATACCGCAGTTGGCCATTTGAAGGATGAAGAGGAATGAAAGTCCATTAAATGCATCTGATGGCATGAACAAGTCTCTATTACCACTCATTTCCAATAAACTGAGTCGTGTGAATGATGAGAATGCATTTCTTGGGAATCTGGTGATTTGATTATTTTGTAGATACAACCACATGAGGTTTCCTGCAACTGGAGCAAGCCATGCTGGATCGAATGTTCTAAAGTTGTTAAGTTCGATGTCCAATGCAGCGATTCTAGTTCCTAAAAGTGAGAAGTTGTATTTTTAATTAGTGACATATAGACAAGTCAAGTCACATACCTTGGAAGAGTCCAGGGAATAATCTTTCAATTCGATTGTTCGCCAAGTTCAAAATGTTAAGATTTGGATTTCCTCTGAACAAATTATCAGGAATCAACATAATATTATTTCCAGCTAAGTTGAGTGAGAATAAGTTGTTGCAATTTTGGAATGCTTCTACAGCAATAGCTTCAACTCGACTGTCAGCAAATACCAATGATTCAATGTTTCGGAATCGTTGACAGAGAAGGGCTGGGATTGATCTTGTGTTTTGTTCAAGAGCTGTAAAGAATTAATATAAATTTAATTGTATCAAAATGACAAAGAACTATCCAGAAGTTAAAGCTTACCAGTCAAGAATCTTACACTATTGTCGTTTCTTCCTTCCATATGAGCACCAGCAATATCAGTAAATCTCAATCGATCATTTGGATTGTTAATAGCTAATTCACAGATGTACATGGTTCCACTTTCTAATGCATAGCTACATGTAAGTTGAGTTTCTTCAAAGGTACCAATGCAACCAGACAATCGCTCTAAAACTTCATCACGGAACAAGGGGATGTCAGTGAAACTTAAATCTGTGCATTGATTGAATGACAAATTAATTGAATTGATTGAAGCATTTACTCTGATCATTTCTGGATCGAAAGCTGTGATTCTATTAAGGGATGCATCGATGCTCATAAGTGAATTAATGGAACGTCCAAAAGCATTAGCATCAAGGGTTCTCAAGTTGTTTCCATCAAGTCCAAGAGTCTCAAGATTTGGAAGGTCAAAGATGTCATCAGGCAATAAGTCAATTTGATTCAATGCCAGTTCAAGATCACGCAAGAAAGTCAATCTAGAGAATGTAGCTGGTTCAAGTCTCTCAAGACGGCAGTTGGCAATTTGAAGGATTTGAAGATTAACAGCACCAAAGAATGCATTGTGAGGAATTGATGGAATTTGATTTCCATTCAATTCAAGATCAACTAAGTTTGAGAGTCTGTCGAAAGCATTTTCTGGAATTGCTCGGATGTTGTTGTCAGTCAATCTCAAAATTCTCAAAGATCCAGCAATTGGTGTGTATGTGAATGGATCAAATCGTCCAATGTTATTATGTGTCAAGTCAAGAACCTGAATATTTGTTTGTGCAAATGCATAAGGTGAAATGTCTTCAATTCCATTGCTAGCTAAGACAAGAACTTGAAGATTTGTTGCAGCAACAAAAGCTCGTGCTGGAATAGATCTGATTCTGTTGTTCATGATTGTCAATTCGCGAAGGAATCCACATCCTTGGAATCCATCTTCGTTGATTTCATGCAAGTTACTGTCGATAATCTCTAAAATTTGCATGCTACGGAATTGACGGCACATAACTGATGGAATGATTCTTGTATTTTGTCCGGAAATTTCAACGAGTGCTACTTGATCATCATTAGATGCTGGAAGATGATCACCCTCAATAGTGGTGATGTCATTACGTCCTAATGGATTCGACAATGTCATACGGCACCAATAGATTCTTCCTGTAATCATTCTGTCATATTCACATGACGCTGTTAATGGTGCTGCATAGTTTGTAGTACATTCTGCCAAATTTTGTCTAGCCAAGTCCAAATCACCACGAACTCCTTGTTGGTTGAAGTTTGCGCACAAGTTATTGGCAAAATTAAGAATATCCAAACTAGTTCCACGGTCCAACATTTCAGGATCGAATGAGTTGATTAAGTTCTGTGGTCCATACAAGAGTCCAATGCTTGGAAGTGATGCTCCGAAAGATTCAGCACGGATATTGACGATTTGGTTCTCATAGAAGAAGAGTTGATCAAGTCTCGTTAATGCATTGAAGATATTTTCTGGAAGTTCAGTGATTCCATTTCTATTAATGGATAGGATTGTGAGATTAGTGAGAGTTCTGAACCATTGTGGGTTAAGTTCCATTAGATCGCAGTATGATAAGCTCAAATCTCGGAGATTTACTAATGGCACGAATGCATCAGCTGTGAAATTATAATTTTTAAAGGTTACAGTCTATAGAATTAGTACAAAAAATCAATGCTTACGGTTCAATCCAGTCAATCTATTTGAATTGAGGAACAAATCTTGAAGTCCGGTTAAACCGACAAAGGTATCACTTGGGATGCTAGATATACGACTGTTAATTAAATCTAAAACTCTCAATGTGGATGAAACAGGTGCAAACCATGCAGCATTTAATGCTCCTAATTGATTATATGAAAGATCCAAGAAGTTAAGGACGGTTCCAGCAAATGCATTTGGTGCAATACTAACGATGAAATTTGAACCAAGATAAAGTTCTTCTAATAATGGACTGTTGCTAAATGTGTTATCAGGAACCTCCATTATCGTATTAAGACCCAAATGTAATTGTCTTAAATTGCGACATGTGCTAAATGCTTGAGGATTAATGATATCAACAAAGTCGTCAAAAATCAACATAGCTGAAACTTGAGGGAATTGCTGGCAAATAATTTGTGGGACATTTCTGGTATTTCCTCCGATGATGTCAACTGTTTGTACATTGTTATTGCCTTGTCCACCAACATGTGTACCACCAATGCTGTTAAATTCATTACCAACTGGATTACGGATATTCATGTGACAGGCATAAAGATCTCCTGATAATTCATAACGGCATTCAATAACTTCAGGTCCAAATCCTCTAAAGCATCTTTCAAGTCTCGTACGAACTCCATCACGTCCATCGAATGTCATTTGGAAGTTTTCATTTGAGCAGGTATTTCCACTAAGGTATAAGCTGTTCAAGTTTTCAGCTACATCAAAGAATCGGCTATCAACTCCATGAATTGCATTATCAGAAACGCTGAGAATTTCAAGTGCTGGCAAGCTTGTTCCAAATGGAGCTCCTGTAATTTGTGTAAGGTTATTTCCAGCTAAATAAACATTTGTCAATCTTCTTGATCTTGCAAAGAGTCCGTCTGGAAGACTTGCAATTCCATTTGATTCCATATGAATTTCCTTCAATGCTCTCATATCAGTAAACCAATCGACATTTGGCTGACTTAATCCACAATTGATAACGTGAAGTAGCATTAAATTGTCAAGTTCTCGGAAGATATTATTTGGAATGTTTGTGAAAATGTTTCCAGACAAGTGAAGGTTTTGAAGATTTCTCAATCCAGCGAATGCTCCATTTGGAAGTGATGTGATGCTGTTTGCTATCAAGAGAAGTGATGTCAATGTTTGACCAACAGCTGCAAATGTTGCTGAACTAAACATATTAATCTCATTGAATGAGAGATCAATTGTAGTAAGACGTGTTCCTGCGAATGCATTTGGTCCAAGGACTCTGATGCCGTTTTGGCTGTGAATTGAATATTAAATAAGATTATTCAGTTTGAGGTTAAGCTATGATTGATATTGAGGATATAATGTAAAGTCTTTTGGACAAGTTGAGGCCAGGATTGGCTATCGAGAGAAAGGCTTTATTAAGTTACGCAAATCCACGTATTTCAAACTATTAGGCATGAGCAACTTAGTAACAATTTATTACTAATAAAAGCAAAGCTAGTAAGTTTTATAGTCACTTGCCCTAACCAATAAATATTCTATCTATGCCACGAGTAACAGAACAAGACTTCGATTCAAATACTTACGCCATATTGAGGATTGTTAAGTGGATATTGCTTCTGAATGTATTGTCAGGAATAGCATTGATTCGGTTCATGACCAATGTAACTTGATTAAGATTGTCACATCCCGCGAATGAACTTTCACCGATATTTTCAATATTACTTGCTGTCATGTACAACTCACGAAGATTTGGGAATTGACGGCAAATAATTGATGGAATATTTCTAGTGTTCTGGAAAGTTGCTGACAAAAATGTTACATCAGCATTTCCTCTATTTGCAATATGGAATCCAGCAATTTCGGTAAAATCGTCAAGTCCATTTGGATTATTGATTGTCAGGTGACATGTATAAGGATACATTGGTGATGCTTGTACATAGTTGCAGCTGATCCTTTCCTGCGATGAGATCAACGCGACTTGCAGTGAAATTAGGAGAAATATTGTCTTTTGCCACATCGCGATAACAGCGAACCGATTCGATTGACACTAAATTAAAGACTAACTGAAATCATAAGTACTTCCACGGTTTTTAAGGCTTGTTGACTTATCAAGCCTTATCAAATTTCACCTTTATCTTACTCCAAAGGTTTGCTTATATAACTGAAAGTTGAGATAGTGGAAGTAAATGAGCTATTGAGTATATTATGACTGGGGCAATAAGCACAATTAATGACATGAAGTGAAATTAATGCTCTTAGGCGTCAGATATAGGTTAACCTCTGAACCAGATTTAATTTTTCTTCAACTAAGCGAAATTTTACATTAAGATCATCCAAAGGCTAGCTTCAGTTCAGCCTTGTTCAGGATTAAGTCAACCATAGTACAGCTTCAGCTCAGTAATAGTCTAGCTTCAATTCATCTATAGTCTAGCTTCAGTTCAGCCATAGTCTAGCTTCAGCTCAGCCATAGTCTAGCTTCAGCTCAGCCATAGTCTTGCTTCAGCTCAGACAAAGCTTAGCTTCAATCCATCTATTGTCTAGCTTAAGCTCAGCCATAGTCTAGCTTAAGCTTATCCATAGTCTAGTTTCAGTTCAGTCATAGTCTAGCTTCAGCTCAGCCATAGTCTAGCTTCAACTCAGTCAAAGTCTAGCTTCAGCTCAGCCATAGTCTTGCTTCAGCTCAGACAAAGCTTAGCTTCAATCCATCTATTGTCTAGCTTAAGCTCAGCCATAGTCTAGCTTAAGCTTAGCCATAGTCTAGTTTCAGTTCAGTCATAGTCTAGCTTCAGCTCAGCCATAGTCTAGCTTCAACTCAGTCAAAGTCTAGCTTCAGCTCAGCCATAGTCTAGCTTCAGCTCAGCCATAGTCTTGCTTCAGCTCAGACAAAGCTTAGCTTCAATCCATCTATTGTCTAGCTTAAGCTCAGCCATAGTCTAGCTTCAGCTCAGCCAAAGTCTAGCTTCAGCTCAGCCATAGTCCAGGTTTAACTCAACCATAGTACAGCTTCAGTTCAGTCAAAGTCTAGCTTCAGCTCAGCCATAATACAAATTCAGTTCAGCCATATCATTAGTCGAGCTTTAAATCAGCCTTAATTCAATCTCGATGCAGCATCAACAACTGCAGTGTTTGGTTAATTTTAAACTTAAACAAATGCGTTCAAAATGAACCTTAATTAATGCTCCTTCATATTTTATGTTTATCAGCATTATGGAAGCAATAATGTCAAAGTGGTAGTTGATAAAAGAAAAACAGTTTAGATCTCATAAGCCAATTAAGCAGTAATCTCTTTGATGCCACCTGCAAATGCTCCAGGAAATGTCGAACATTATTATTGAGGAAATTGAATTGAATTTGATAATACAAAGATAAAATTTGATCAACCAAATTAATTAGGTATAAAAGGAAGCAGAGACTAACAAAGAGTTCGTTAGTATTGTTTTGTTGTAACTTATCGAAGGAGCTTAAAGAGTGTGTTATACTTCCCATAGCCGATATCAGCTCATTAAGTTTTATTGCGGGAAATGATAAGGAGCAAAACAATTGCTTAATCTTGACGTAAATTGCATTTTGATAAATTATATAATTTATATGCAACACATACATAAACAAAGTTAATTCTCAAAATAGAAACAGCTAATAAATTTTCAGGAATTGATAAAATTTACCTTATGTTTTTTAATTAAGCTCTTGTTGCTCTCAAAAAAAACGTGAGACTTTATTGATAACGTGTTGGTTCTTGTTTTCATTAGTAATGGATGAACCTATCTAACCGACAATTGATACCTTATCGTTAACGGTATTAATAAAATAGCTACAAGTGGCATAAAATGTAAGACTTATGATAAATTAAAGATTATTTCTATTTTGAGTCACATAATCTTTAATAATAATGGCATTTCACTTAATGGTGTTCACATGGATCACAGATATATAAAAACTGTTTAAAATTTAATTATAGTTTGTGTTTTGGAGAGTGACAATTATCTAGATTTTATTCGATATTTCTAATTAAAACTTACTATAGAAAAGTTGCAAAAAGTAAGCTTCAGTTTGTCTTGAATCTTAATTCGATTAAACCTGATTCATTTTCAGTCTATCGTTGGCTTAATGGGGATTGGGAGATTTGCCCACTGACTTTCGTCCACTGGACAGGCGCGTAGCCAGGAGGGTATTGTCCCCCTCTTAAGCGTTTTAGGCCGTGCTCTTGCTGCGGTTCGAAACGTATACGGGGGGATAAGACCCTCCTGGGATAGGGTTTTTGGGAGCCTGTTAACAGAAAAACAGCTGTTTTTAAAAATCAAAAACCGAAAAGACTGTATTTCAAAAACAGCTGTTTTTCACAAACCCTACTCCTGGCTACGCGCCTGCCACTGAAACATTAGCCCAATGGTTCTTTTGCCCATTCGTATATTTCCCATTCGCCCACTCTTCCCTTACTATTCAATGCGTTGACATTCAAATGATATGATTACTTCTTGTCTATACAGACAGACTGGTTTTGTCTTCAACTGACGATTGATTAATATGTTATTCTACACAATCGCACGACTCAGGGGATATCAATTCATAGTACCTAGCCACAATATTTGCTTTAAAATTCGCACAAACCGAGTTTCCATGATGAGAACAGCAAAACAGTACCCAAAATCCGACTAGACATTATCTGGGATGGGATTCTCGGTATATACCTACACCTGCACTTACATCTGCACCTGCTGCTACACTAGATGTATGCACTGTTGAATACACTAGTATATATCCTAGAGGAGGCGTAGGTGTAAGTGTAAGTGTATAAACCAGTGTACTCGAGCCAGGGTCGTTCTGGTTGGTTGACCAACACTCTTACAATTTATTCACTGTTGCTTTGATTTGCATCCACTAATCAATATGTTAGCCAGTTGATATGCTTTTATGTTTAATTCATTTCGATCTTCTTAATAGTTTTGATAAGTCAATTTCATTCATAACCCATTATTGTGCTTTAAAGTTTAATGACAGTCTCTGTTTAGTAACAAAAAATTTCAAATCTAATCACATTTTAGATAAGAGAAGTTGTATAATTTGTTATAAAGTTGGTTTATTGTAGACGATAATGATTATTCGATGTTTTTCAAATTTATTTTGTTTTTTTTTTATTGTGTAGAATCTACCCCGAACAGAACAAGTTTCTTAATCGATCAGAAATCTAGCACTTAATCGGCATGATTCTGGCATGATGCTGAACTTGGATTTAAATTCAACACCATGCCAGATTCATGCCGACTTGGTGCCAGATTTTAATTCCATTAATCGACTTGTGCTATTCGGGTACTGACTTACTTCCTTTGCTAGGGTACACGTGGGCTCATTACCGTGCTTAGAGAAGGTCTAAAGACTGTTCAATCTTTCAAAACCTTCTGACAATTTGGAAATCTAGCGTACTTTTCTTCTGTACCGATCTAGGAGTTCTTCGGTCTTCTGCTTCTTAACGAGTCAGCTAAGCTTCGCTCAGCTTATGTTTGCAGGTTTAAAGCTTCAATCCGGTTTTTGGAGTTAGCTAAAGTCTGTTGAAAGAGTACTTAGCAAAAGGGCATAGATTAAATAAAGCAAAACAGCATCTCATGCTAATTGTTAATTAAACATTTCAATTATGAGCAACAAAGTGACAAAAATTACTAAAACATTTAAATTTTTAATGCATTTTTTATTTACAAAAATCGTTTTTTGAACCTTAAGCTACAAAATAAATTTTATGAAAAATTTTCACACTTCAAATCTTATCGCGTAAATTTCACCCATTTCACCATAAAATGATTTACAAATTATCAAAATTATTGAAGCACTCTTGAAGAGCTTGCATAACAGTTGATAACTGATCTTGTACATTTAAGAAATTGCTGCTTGTGCACATGTTGCCAGCAAGTAGTAACTCAGACAATGTCGTTGAATTTTCAAGAATTCTTCTATCAATTGCATGAATTAAATTTTCTTCAGCATCAAGACGTTCAATTCGACCTAATGATGATCCAAAAGCTCTCGAATCCAAAGTTCCAATACGATTGAGAGTAATTCCAAGAATTCTTAAGTATGGCAAGTCAAAGACTCTTTGCGGAAGTTCCGTAATTCCATTTAAATCAACCTCAAGACGATTAAGGAACTGAAGATTTTTAAACCAATGAGGATTTAAGTTCATTAATCCACAATTAGCCATTTCTAAGTCATACATCATTGTGTTGGTTTCAAATGCATCTGAAGGAACGAAGATGTCTGGATTTCCACTAAATTCTAAATCAACAAGTCGTGGGAAACTTCTAAAAGCATCTCTTGGGAATCTGCGAATTTCGTTATTACGGAAGATTAAGTAACGCATTTCTGATGCGACTGGTGCAAGCCATGCTGGATTGAATTCTCGGAATCGATTGTTTTCAATATCAAGGAAGTAGATTTGTGTACCTGAATAATATTTATATAGTAACTGTAAAACTATGAATTTTAAATAATACCTTGGAAGATTGCAGGAGTTAATCTGCTCAATAAATTCGATGCAACATTCAAAACTGACAAATATTGATTTCCTCTAAAAGTTCCATCAGTAATCTCAAGTAGATTGTTTCCTGACAAATTGATTGAGTACAAGTTTTGACATCCAGCTAAAGCATCTGATGAGATGACTTCTAAGTTACTTGATAGGAAATAGATGGCTTCAACATTTCTGAATTGACGGCAGAGGACTGATGGGATGGATCGTGAATTTTGTGCGACAGCTGAAAGGAGGTAATGGAATTTATTAGTATTGGTGTTTAAAGTAAGCTTTGCTTCATAGCAGCTAATGATTGTGGGTCAGTTTAGTCCTCAGACATACACTTTAGTATCAGCAGGGTTTACCTTAGTGTATGTCGGAGCAACTACTCTAGTATGACTAAATTATCCCTAATAAACCAGCTCCAAAATTGTGCAGATAAAAAGAATCAATGCTTACCTCTAATATGTGTTACAAAGTTATCATTATGATTAGGCATATGATCCACAGCCACACTATCGAATCTCAACCGATCATTAACATTATTCAATGCTAACAAGCATTCATATATCGCTTCATCTTCAGTAAATGTACAGCTAATTGAGACATTATTAAAATTGCTAATACATCCAGCAAGAGCATTAAGAACAGATTGACGATTATTTGGAATGTCTGCAAAGTTAGAATCAGAGCAGCCATTGAAAGCTAGATTCAAGTTGCTGATTGTTGAATTTTCTGCAATGATGTTTGGATCGACTGCAGCAATTCTATTGAGGGATGCATCGACTGTCCATAAGGATCTTAATGACTGTCCAAACATGTTTGCATCTAGAATTCTCAAGTTATTTCCATCAAGTCCAAGGACATGAAGATTTGGAAGATCGAAAATATTTTCAGGCAGCATGTCAAAATCATTAAGTGCTAATTCCAGATCAACTAAGCTTCTTAATCCTGAGAATAGTTCTGGTTGGATTCTTTCAATTCCACAGTTGGCAATTTGAAGAACTCGAAGATTGATAAGTGGATTAAAGACATGTGCTGGAAGTGTAAAGAAGTGATTGTGATTCAATTCAAGATCTTGTAAATGTGGTAAACCAGCAAAAGCATTTTCTGGAAGCTGTTCAAGTCGATTATCAGTTAATCTTAAAATTCTTAATGATGCACCGATGGCTGCATAAGTTGCAGGAACGAATTCACGAATTCCGTTGATACTCAAGTCTAGAAGTTGAATTTGAGTGCCAGCAAAAGCAGTACTTCCAATAGTTTCTATATTGTTATTGTCAAGGTACAATTCAAGGAGATTAGGGACTCCTGTAAATGCTCGATTTGGAATTGTTCTGATATTGTTGCCCATTAAGATGATTTCACGTAAGAATCTACAGTTGCCGAAAGTTTGATCTGTAAGTTCTGTGATGTCATTTGTAATGATGTCTAAAATTTGAAGACTAGGGAACTGACGACATATAACTGATGGAAATACTCGAGTATTCTGGTTTTCTGATGAGATGTACATAACTTGGTCGTCATTTGATCCTGGAAGATGATTACCTTCAATTCTCTCAAAATCATCGCGTCCTGATGGATTGACTACGGATAAGTCACACCAATAAATTCTTCCTGTAATTAATCTGTCGTATGTGCAAGCTAATCTCGGTGCTGCGGCAAAGTTTGCTGTACATCTTGAAAGATGTTGAAGAACCAATTCTGGATCACCACGGACATCAAAAATGTTAAGTTGTGTACACAAATTTGCATAGAATAAAAGACTAGACAACTGAGTTCCCCGATTTAAAATATCTGGATCAAATACATTGATTGCATTGTTGGAACCATAAAGTGTTCTGATTGTTGGCAAAGATGCACCAAAAGAGTCAGCACGAATATCAACGATACGATTATTATAGAAGTAAAGATCCTCAAGGCTTGTTAAGGAATCGAAAATATTCACTGGGAAATTTGTCAATTCATTGCTGGCGATTGATAGATGAATAAGGTTCGAGAGTCCTGCAAACCATGCTGGATTAAGCTGACGGATATTACATCCTGCTAATGTTAAGCGTGTGAGGGTTGTAAGGTTTGAAAATGCGTTGTCTGAAAAGTTAAATTGAATATAAGTTTAGAATTTGATGATTTTGATTCAAATAAAATTATATAAATCTGTTGTAGCTTTTTGAGCATGATCAGTCGTCAATGTGAGAATTTTACACAAGTCTCCATTTTTAAATCAAAGCTCCCCATTGACCTGATACACACTAGAACTAAAACTTCAATAGACACTCACCAGCAATGCCAATAATAAAGTTATTATTCAAATCCAAATTCCTCAAAGCCCTCAAATTGCTGAATGTTGTGCTTTCAATTTGTTGGATATAGTTCCTATACAAGTCAAGTTCCTCTAGAGTATTTTCAATTGGTCGATCCCATTCTGGACTGAATTCAAATAATCTGTTATTTGATAAAGTTAATACACGAATTCTAGTTCCAGCAAATGAGTTAGAATTCAATCTTGTAATTCTATTGTTGGCCAAATTCAATTCACGCAGAAGTGGGCTGTTTACGAATGTGTTATCGTCTACTGTTGCTATCTCATTGTATGATAAATCTAATCGTTCCAAAGCTCGACATTCACTGAATGATTGTTGACTTAATACTTCTACGAAACTTGACATTGCGACTAAATCACGTAATGCAGTGAATTGGCGGCATATTACTGGTGGGATGTTGCGGGTGCTTTGGAACATAGCAATAACTGAGATGACATCACTGTCTTCACGATCTGCAAGATGTTCACCGGCTACTGTGCTGAAATCATTTCCGAATGGATTGGTGATGTCCATTTCACAGCTATATTCATGACTAGAATCTGGTGCAAATCTACATGATGCCATTTCAGTTCCAAAATTAGCAAAACACTTCTCAAGTGTTGTCATTGCTTGTGAACGGCTTGTTTGGATATTATAAATATTTGAATTGAAGCATGTTCCTCGATAAAGTGAAATTATGTCTAAATATCTAGCTCTGACGAAGAGTTCACGTTCAACTGAGACAATTGGGTTATTGTCAATACCAAGGACTTCAAGAACAGCAACATTAGTTCCAAAAGCTGCTAATCCAATTGATGTTAGATTGTTGCTGCCCAAAAAGAGTCGTCTAAGTCTACTAAGAGGTGCAAATACACCAGCTGGTAATGAAGATACTCCATTGAATTCATAATGAAATTCATCCAAGGAAACCAAATCAGTAAACCAATTAGGATTCATTTGTGGGAAGCTACAGTCTGAGATGTAAATATTCTCAAGTCTATCCAAACCAGTAAACACATCCCCAGGTAAAGTTGTGAATCTATTTCCTGTCAAGTCAAGATATCTCAAGTTTCGAAGGTTAGAAAATGCCATGTTTGGTAAAACTGTGATTCCATTAGCAAGGATTTCCAAAGTTTGTAATGTTGCATTAACAGGTGTAAACCAATCTGGATTATATGCATTTAAATCGTTCATTCCTAATGCGAGATATTGAACTCGGGTTCCGACGAAAGAGTTTGGAGTCAGTAATCGAATGCGGTTGTTGCTGTAAAAATTAATGATTTATTAGCTCGTGTTTTAAAGGATGTTGTAGTTAAAATTGAAAGCGATTAAGATTGGGATACCAAGGGACATAGTCAGCTTTACTTGACTAGTATAAGATTTGTTTATGAATTTATTATCAAGCTTTGCTGTCTAGACACCAAAATTATTTAAGCTTTTAAGATTTAAGTGGATTATGAAGTCGTAGCTTCTAAGCGTATAAGTTGAGAAAACAGGAAAGTATGCAATTTTAAGGTGAATATTGCTTAGATGTCGGACCGTTCACTTATGACGTCCAAGGATGGGTGGGGTGAGAGGGTTCACCAAGAAAAAAACAATAGAAATTCCTGAAAATCAATTGTTTTTTTTTGAAAAATTACCGTTATTTTTGGACATCATAAGGGTACGACCTCTTACCGGTTTTTGATTCTCAAGCCAAGAACCAAGAATCAAAAACCATATAAGATGTTTTATTCAAAAATTATATTTACATAAAGCACTGCTTACACTATTCACAAAGTCTGCATATGACACTTTGAACTCACCTCAAATAAATAAAATCCAATCGTTCACTGTTTCTAAACGTATTGTCAGGAACCTCACTAATTTCATTAAAACTCAACATTACGCTCTGTAAATTTCTACATTCAGCAAAAGCTGCTTCATTAATGTTGACAATATTACTGCTTGATATGTACAAATCCCTAAGATTTGGGAACTGACGACAAATTACAGATGGAACAAGGCGTGAATTTTGATTGTAGCCACTGACGAGAAGAACATCGGAATCATTTCGACCTTCAAGATGCTCGCCTTGAACTCTATCAAAATTGTCGAGTCCACCAGGATTTACTAGTGTTAAATCACATGTATATGGATAAGTTGGAGCTGCTTGTCTATAATTGCAACTTATTGTCACAGCTTGAGGTGCAATCAGCACAGCTTGTAATGAAATTAAAAGGAAAATTGTTTTAAACCACATTTTGGTCTATTTTGACCTTTCAGCCGCGGCACTTAATAAAAAACTGAAAATTATTATTTTTCTGTCAAGCTTTTTAAAGTTTCTAAAATAATTATTATCAAAATTCTTTATCATTTCCTTTAATTTTTTTTAATCTTATCATTAATTAATTGATATGAGTTATTCGAGTTTGGAACACACACTCTAAAATCAGGCTTAAATTCAATGTTTTACTACCGTTTGATATTTTATTGCTTGTTTTGTTGTGAATTAAGGGATTTTCATGAATGGAAGTGTTTTTTGTGAGGAAATCCGTGATTTCTTTGTTGATTTCTTATCGGAAAAAATTTCAAATTCATGCAATGAAATAAGAATTGACTACAGTTGAAAGATAGTGACTTAGCAAAGGAGGATATTTAAATCAGAGTAGACTTTAACATTGCTGAAGGTTGGTTGTATTTAATATATTATAATAGATTAAGGTTATCTTGAGTTGGACAATAACAAAGTCTATACATCACAGATTTTTTTTTTTTTTTTTTGTTTAAAAGTTCATTTATTTATATCAAACTTAAAGTTGTGTTATAAATTTATACAAATTAATTATTGCAGAGAGAGAATAAAAAACAAATTACTTCATATTCAATTTAATTTAATTAGCATCAAAATACAATTCCAAATAGTGCTCTCTCAAACGATTTTTAATAATGCTCAATGAATGAAAAGCCTTTATCTGCTGTGGAAGATTATTGAAATCCGCAAATGCTCTAATGTAAAAATTCTGCGCTCCTTGACTAGTGCAATGAATATCGCTACCTAATTGTATTTCGACATTATTTTTAATTAAATTCGATGCAAATTTAAATACTTGAAGAGAGCAGTTTGTTTTACACATTACAGAGCATTTTAAGCAAAAGATCGATGTTTAATGATTTTACTCAAATTGCACAAGTCGGTTAATTAGTCAGAAACCCGGGACCAAGCTGGTGTGACTCTAGCATGGTGCTGGATTTTAATCGAAGCCAGCATCATACCAGAGTCATACCAGCTGGGTACACTGCTATTCGATATAATTGATTCTAATTGAGTCTCAAAATTACGCACAAACCGAGCTCCGTTACTAGAATGATGAAATGGAAAAAGAGCTTTTCTTGAATCTCGACTTGGTCTGGGATTAAACCTGCATCCCCTCCCCATTTCTAGCTACAAACGCATTCGCGTAGCTAGGGGAGGGGGGGTGGTTTGGGGGACAAATCCCCCAACGTAAACAGAAATTTGTTTATTCTGCTAGGGTTTTTATGAAAAATTCACAAAAATACCCCCCCCCCCCCCCCTAAATGTTTCCATACAAAAAAAATTTTTGTTCCACCCTCTTCAAATTCCTGGCTACTTTCCTGTACAGACGTGATCCCAATTTAAACATTGCTTACAATATTTCAATACTGATGACATTGTAATCAAGATTGTCATTATAAATCCAATATTTATCTATCTTTCTATATAAGTGTTGTCCAAACTGTGTGCCGTGGCACGCTGGTGTGCCGTAAAATGAACTGAACTGTGCAGAACAAAAAAAAAACTATTTAAAAAATTACGATTTTTAAAGAAAAATCTATACGTGTGCGTTGGAAAAATTTCTAAAGGTGCGAAAGTGTGCCGTGGCTGTAAAAATTTTGGAAAACACTGATCTATAGTATAAACACCCAATTCTCTTCCTGACTCTAAAACAAAGCTGTGTGAAGCCAATGATTTTAGGGACATGTTTAACGGGTCCCTGGTGATGACAAAGTGGGTGTCAAGTTTAAACCCCGATAACGGGTGCCCTGAATAGCCTAGTTATTCAATAATCTACAAAACCAATTTTCATGTTAAATTTTAGTCATGTTCATTGATATTTATACTAAAGAGCAACTTAGTGATTAAAAAGTAAAATCTACAACGACATGAAATTCAAAATATTCCCTCCACATTAAAATCACTCATCACACCTCACATGAAATTTCGAATATTCGAAAATCAATGACCATCAACAGAGCGAAAAGTGTGAATGTATTCGCATTCTCTCAACTTCTCGTTCCTCTCTCTTTGCTCACAAATTTCCTTTTATTCTCTCGCATGCACTTTTTCCCAATATTTTTTCACAATTCCGCAAATGTGAGTCGAGCGATGGTGAGAGAACTTAAACTTTCAGAACCATCTCGGACGTCGACTTGCAAACACATGAGAAAAATCCGTGGCTTTTGATTATCGTGCTCGCGAGTGTCTACTTCTATAATATATAGATAAATATTTTTTTTGTTCAGTGAAAGAAGATAAAAATAAGAAAAATAAAAAAAAAGAAAAAAAAAATTAAAGAATTAAAAAAATTTAAAGTGTTTGCAAATCAAATTTTGAAGTAATTTTGCGATAAGTTCGGTCGTGGAGTTTTGTTTTTTTGGAAGTTGTCGGGAGAGACGGAAAAGTGGACAATTTTTCCATGTTTTGAGTGAAAAATTTGTATTTGGACCTTAAGTATGGAAATTTAGCAGTGATAAGAACGGTAGGGATGAAATCTTTAAGTAGACAAATTTGTGTAATTAGTGGATATACCCGAAAGGTCATTGCACTAGTCTAAATCTAAATTTCACTTCTTTTTTTTTGTGCGTCGACAAAAAAAAATCTTCTTTTTTTTCATCGTGAAAATGTTTTTCCTATTCTGAGGGCCAAAAATAATGAGAATCGAAAAGACATTCTACATAAATAGCATATCCACATGTTCGACAAGTGTCAATTTAAATTGGAAAAAAAAATTTTATTTCTGTCTGAAAATTTTCTCCTTTTTTCTTCTTTCATTTTCCTTTTATTTTCGACAGTAATGGAATCCTTCGAAAATTTTCCATCAAGTTGAATTTTTATGCTCTCTCATAATTGTGTCTGTACTTGCGTTGTTGCCGTTGTGTGTGTGTGTGTGTTTGTGAGAATATTGTGATGTGCAAATGTTTATGCAAAGGTGATTCTGTCAATGTATTTGTGAGTCGACTCAATTCACTGATAAAAAACTTTTTTTCCTTCTTCATCCCCTTGTTTTTCTGTTTTTTGCTTTTTTTTGTGTGTTATTTCCGAATAAGAAATAAAAAATTCTTATTTTGAGGACATTTTTGTGCCTTTTTTGAGGAAATTTAATGATCAAAATGTATTAAGGAATTTTCGAACAGGAAAATACTATTTTGTTAAGACATCTAGTTGACATTAAGGGTGGAATTTCATTTAGATTTTAAAAGTTTTTTTTTACATTTTTTTCTTGTTAATTTTATTTCATTAAATTAATAGGTTTTATATTTTTGAAATTAAAATTTTTTACATTTCTAAACCACTTCTTACATTTCTTGTGTATTATTTTAAAAAGATTTAGATTGAACAGGTTTTTCAACTTACTAAGCTTTTTGAATATTTGAAAAATTTCATGTTAATTTTCAGACGATTTTGCCGACGTGCAAATAAACAGGAGAGAAATTTTTATATTCAAAAAAATTATTGTTTTTCTATTTGAAGCTATTTAAAATATTTTAAATTTGTATTGAGTTTATTTTTATATATTTTGTCAGAAAAATATTATTTTCTATCAATAATTCATATCTTTTAATTTTTTTTTATTTTTTGATTAAAAATTTGAATCCTTTGAATTTGAATTATTTTGAAGCTCTAAGGATTAGTCTCGAGAAAATCAAAAAATCTCAAATGTTGAAAATATATTCAGCCATAGCTTTCTCGCTGAATTTTAATTAAAATCCTGATTTCTTGGTCCCGAGTTTTTCGGGACCGAAATCAAAAATTCTAAACGCTCGTTCAAAAGTTTTAAACCCTTGAAGATTTCAAATGTTTTGCAAGAAAATTTTTTTTAAAAAATTGTCTCCTTTTAAAATTTTCATTATTAATTTAAATAAAAAAAACAAAAATCTTATTTCGGCACTTAAGATATTCAAGTTTTAATTCTGGTTTCAGTCCCGGAAATTTTCCAAAACTAGGAAATCAGGAAAGCCTTTTAAATTTATTATTTTCTTTTATTTTGAAATATTTCTTTGTTTTCCAAAATTATTTTTTTAAGTTGAAAAAAAGTATAAGAATTTTTGGGGTCTAGAAGTTTTGATTAAAACAGATTTTTTTTTAAAAACTTTTTTTTTAAAATTTTAATTCTTTTATAATTATTATCTTATTGTAAGCCATTTAAAGATTAAGGTGTCGATTTATTAAAATGAAATTTTATGATTTGGGTTAAATTCCACTAAAAGTTTTTGTAATAATATTGTTTAGATCGGTGGTTTGTGGTATCTACAAAAAACAATTCTACGGTACACTAGTGTGCCAATTCATACAGTTTGAACAACACTGGTTCAGATATTAGTCCTGATTTTTACCAGAAAATGGTCAAGACCAGTGTTGTCCAAAGTATTTGAGCAACCATGACCAAAACCGCACATTGTGTCCGGTTCGAGGTATTTTTAACAAGTTTCTACAGCACACAGTTTGGAAAACTCTAGACAAGACAAATAAAAATTAAAATTCTTAGATTTTGCAAAATATTCCTAAAAGTTCTGGCTTCATTGATAGACGTCATTAGCGAAGGTTCATCACAATTGAGTTATGTACATTTCTTTATTTAATTTAAAACAGAAGCTTGAGTATTTTCAGTCTAGTTCTCTTTTCTGACTAACTGACATCTGCTTTGAGGAATTACATCATGTAGATTTACTAGTTTTCTAGTGTTTCTTGCACAATTGAGAATATTTGTACTGTAAATTTCACATATGCGTATTTGACCGTGAATTTTCATTATAAATAATATTTTTCAGATTTATTGAAAATCTTTTAAATGACTTGAAAATTAAAAACTTGTAAAAATATCAAAAAGTCCTCAATTTAATGCCGGCATTTTCTATCAATATTCCCAATTCTTAACCATGCGTAGTGAAAAATTCTCCCCCAAAAAAACCAAAAATCCACTCATTTTAATCCCTTTTAGCTAAAAACTCATCACATCAATCAATCATTCCAGAAAATGAGGCAATCAACTGTAAAATAAATCTAATTT